TAATGTAATACTATTATTATTATTATTATTATTAATGCTTATCAGATCTCATCATAAATTAGAAATACTAGCTGAACTAACTGCTGAATGTTATGTTGCTGGAGTTGATACAGTTTCTAAAAGACTACTTCTTCTTCCAGTGGCCTTATTTCGTTTTTTACTTTTGTTTATTATGTAATTTAAAAAATGCAGTTGCCCTAAACATTGTGTGAAAATTTCGTGATGAATGGACCTGTGGGAAAGGTCCAAATATTAGAAGTGGCGATATGGTTTAAACCCTTGTGTGGTGTTCAGGTCTGTGGGACCCATTTTCAATGTTTACCAAAAGAAAAAATGATGTGATTTATTATTATTTTAACCTCAGATTCACAGCCTTTGCTCATTTTCTGTGAAGAATATATAAAATAACCCATTTTCAGTGTCTTCACTCTGTTCACCCCCCACACATTTATATTCCACATGTGGTGTTGGGTGAACCTGCGGGGAGTAAAAGTGTGGAGGTGCTGTGTCCTTCACTCTGTTCTCCTCCTACATGGCCTGCTGTTAGTGTGTGTGTGTCTGTGTCTGTGTGTGTGTGTGTGTTTGTGTGAGGGTGGACAACATGGACAGGCTGCTGACTGGCTACAGCTGCTAAAGGAGACCCCTACACTGGCCACTTGTGATATTTTTAAACATTTGGTATTTTTACATAAACTGTTATGACTGTGTTGATTATAAAACAATAATGCGGTGGGTCCACCAGACCGCTGAGTAACAAACACATCAACACCACATAAGGGGTAAAAAAATATGGGTTCTACATATTTATTTTTGGAATTTTCTTCTCGTGACGGATGCAGTACTGTATGTAAACATTACTTCAAAGCATACAGTTCACTCGCCCATTCTATACAACCTGTTTCATGGACATGAAGCTGCAAAAAAACAGCACATTTTGAATTCACCAAGAGTTACCAACCCTCCAGGCCTCATCTTGCTAGCCAATGTAAAAAGACTAGCTTAGGGGTGCAACTCCGGTCCTGGAGGGCCAGTGTCCAGCACAGTTTGGTGACGTACTTGCTGCAACACACCTGATTACACTTATCTGTTAATTGCCAGGTTAGGTGGGTGTGTTTGAGTAGTGAAACCTCCAAACAGTGCTGGACACGACCCTCGGCGAGTTGTGACTTGAAGCTTAGTTTGATCTAACTCTGGAGGCAGTGGTGACAGTACTGCTTTTTTACTGTTATGAATGTCTTACTTTCTACTAGAAGCGGTTCGATACCTCAATACCAATACCTCAACCATCTGCTGATACAGGGTCTGTGTCAAGGCAAGTCAAGAGGCTTTTGAAGGAAATTACATTCCTCCAGGAACAACACGGTGCAACATGGAACAAAAGGGTACAAAGTGCAAACATGCAGACATGAGTGTGCAAACAAAAAATTTAACTAGAAACAATACAATAAATTTGATAAACAGACATTAGACACAGTAAACAGACCGGACAGTGCAGCACTGACACAGCACTCATTTCTGGACATGAGGTAGGTGCATAGATATTTAACATGCTGTGATCTGTGAGTTATGCAGTCAGATAACATACATAAACACAGCAGTTACTGAGGTAGTACTAGAGTAAACAGTGTAAACACAGCAATGATCCAGACAGTGCAAGTAGAGCATCAAAAGAGGTGTGTGTGTGTGTGTAGAGTATGTGTGTGAGGGGGGGGCTTCAGATCAGTCCTTGTGAGTTTAAAAACCTGATTGCTTGAGGGACAAAGCTGTTGCAGAGTCTGGCAGTGATGGCACGGATGCTCCAGTACCTTCTGCCCGATGGCAGCAGTGAAAAAAGTCCATGTGAGGGATGGACGGGGTCGTCCACACTGCTGGTGGCTTTCCGGATAGAACGTGTGGTGTAGATGTCCATGATGGAGGGGAGAGAGACCCCGATGATCCTCTCAGCTGTCCTCACTATACGCTGTAGGGTCTTGCGGTCGGAGGCGGTGCAATACCCAAACCAGGCGATGATGCATGGTGAGGATGGGAGGGGGGAGATGAGCCTTCTTCAGTCTCTGCAGGAAGTAGATGCGCTGCTGGGCTCTCTTGGCTATGGAGTTGGTGTTGAGGGACACCAAGGAACTTTGTGCTCTTGACGATTTCCACAGTAGAGCCAGTGATGTTCAGTAACAACCATCTCCTTAGTTTTGTCCACGTTCAGAGACAGGTTGTTGGTTCTGCACCAGTCCGTTAGCCGATGCACCTCCTCTCTGTACGTTGACTCATCATCCTTGCTGATCAGACCCACCACAGTCGTGTCATCAGCAGACTTGATGATGTGGTTTGAGCTGTACTTTGCAGTACGGTCGTGAGTCAGTCAGAGTCAGTCGTGAGTGGCTGTGGTGGGCACAATCACTGAAAATTTATTTAAACTACATTTTGAGTAGAAGGGAGTTGAGTTGCTTCAGGACTGTAGCCAGAAGGTAATTGAGGCTGCTAATGGTTTAGACCTTCCATATATAGGTGACTTGGAGCTTGACACCACAGTCATGGGTAACGTATTGAAAAGGATAGGTGTGCTGGTGACGAGGGACTCAACTGATCCACTTTTTATGGGTTGATAGGAATGAACATCATTCATCATTGTTATCAACTGTTAAGTCAACAACAGTTTATACCTGTTCAATCAGAACAGGAGCAGTGGCAATCAGGGTGGAGGCAGGGCAGGGAGATACTGGAGTTGGCCACAAGGGGGACTGCGATACTGACAGAGGCATGAATGGAACAGAAAGATTTTATATTATATAGATTTTATACATTATATATTAAAACACAATATTACATTTAGAATATGTTTTGCAAAATATAATATTAAATAATGTATAGCCTAAAACATTATTAATAGTTAATCTAGATGCAGTGGTGAGGTTGTTCTCTGTTCTTTTTTTCTCTAAAATTAGTTCAGAATCACCACCTAAAGTCAAATGAATGTAAACTACACCCATTTTTATGATGAAAACATAGTAATAATAATATTCTGTAACTATGACTGTTGTAGGGATAAGTAAATATTACATGGCCTCATAAAAAAATGAAAATAGCTAAAAATACAGAAATAGCCAAAGATTAATTACAATTAATGATGTTCTATTAACAGATTTGTAAGCAGTAACATTATTATTCTTTTAATGCAGGTAATGTTATAAGGAGTTCCACCTTAAACGGTGCCTGAATGTCTCAGTGGTCTGAGGCATCAGAATGAAACTGCTGCACCATTTAAGATGGAACGTTTGAAGAAGGAGCAAAATTTGAACAAGAAGCTGGAGAATAAGAAGCTTCATGTGACTCAAGCTATTAAATATCCTACCTACAGTTTTATGTAGAGCTCTGCCTACACAGATCAGGCATAACAACTCCAGCAGCACTGCTGTGTCTGATCCACTCAGACCAGCGCAACACACCACCACCACGTCAGTGTTACTGCAGTGCTGAGAATGATCCACCACCCAAATAGTACCTGCTCTGTGAGGGTCCATGGGGGTCCTGACCACTGAAGAACAGGGTAAAAGGGGGCTAATAAAGTATGCAGAGAAACAGATGGACTACAGTCTGTAACTGTAGAACTACAAAGTGCACCTATATAGTAAGTGGAGCTGATAAAATGGACAATGAGCGTAGAAACAAGGAGGTGGTCAGAATGTTATGCCTGATCGGTGAATATGTGCTACGGTCGGACATTCTGACCAAGTAGAACGGTTCGTCAGAACACTGGTGACCCTCATACAGCCGAGTGATGAGCTAAACAACTTTCGTTACTAAGTCAGGCCAGTTATAACTATAAAAAACCTAAATAAACAACTACTTACAGTGTCACATGCACAGCAGGTGATAAAATAAAGAAGTTTGTCTTGTTATATCGTTTTAAGCAGAGATTGAAACTTTAAGCAGCGCAGAGCGGAGAGTTTAGTACACAGATAAAGCACTCTTTATTCTGTTTATTCTGGTTTTGTTAATATTCAATAATAATTCAGCTTCCAGTTACGTCAGATGTTCCAGTTACATTTTTAAAATAAAATTTTCAACACTGAATCTAAGAGAGAAAGTCTTTTTAAGTGCTTAACAGGGTTGAATTAAAATGAATGTAATATGTGTAATATGTACAATAGTACATATTAACCTAATATGTAGTATAGCTTATATAATGTTTTCTAACTTTTTGAGTGATCTCAGTTTTAGCTATTTTTTAATTTTAGATCTAGTAATATAAATATATGCTGTGTGATAAAAAAAAAGCTCTTTGCTTATTATTATGATTAAAAAATAAGAAAATTATTCAATAGTTTAGTAGCTGTTCATGCAGAAGTCCAGGTAGTTCCAAGAGCTCAGAAACTTTTTTATGCAACAGTACGTACAGTAAACACAGAAAAGTCAATGTTTACTTTGTGTCTTGCTATGTTGGTGTTAATAAACAAGTTCATTTTTCAGAAAAATCTCACATTTCATGCGCAAGTCCAAATGTCCAGTATTCTGAATACTGAATTTGATGTTTCCCAGTGAGCCAAAAAAAAAAAGTAATGTAATATGTAATTTAGCACATAGCAGAGAACATGTTTGCTAACAAAAAATGGTTAGTTTTTTAAAGTATCAGGCTCTTTTGGCTCGGGACTGAGAAGGATAGGAATTAAAGTGAAGGTAAATTAAAAGAAAGAGTGCGTTCTGGAAACACATCTACTCCATCTAATGCTAATAAAAGTCACCATCTTAATATTTTTTGATCCCTTATTTTATGTTTTATTTTATTTTTAGCATTTTAATTATAATTTTATTATAATTATTATATGACATTAATTTTATTATTAATTATTATATAACAAATTTTAATTTGATACATTTCTTGTTTACAACGCAGTGACCGAACTACACAGAAAACTTTGAAAAACCAGTGGAATTCCTCTTTAACACAGCGCAGCTCTGGTACCAGTATTTTGAAAAACGTTGATGTAGGCGGCCTTATTGAACTTTGTCGCCGCCTGTAGTGTGTTTACCTTCCCCGCCTGCTCGGCAGAGCTCTGTGGGCTACTGGGGCAAAGAGGACGGGAACGGAGCCCACGGAGAGCCCGAGCCCACAACTCGAGCTGGATGTTAAGCAACAAGATCAACAACAGCTGTAACTCAGTATTTGCAGCTCACGCCTGTCTTTCCTGCTGAGTGAACACAACTTTCCTCCCAGCTGTTAACTGACTCCTGAGGATCTTGAGGTAAGTCAGGCTTTGTTTACTGCACGGTGATCAATGAGCGTTGAGTCAAGTGCACTGACTGGCACGCAGCGGCAGTCACGTCCCAGAGAGGCGACCTGTTCGCCAGCTTCTCGTTCGAATTTCCCCGTTCCACCTTAAATGATGCTGCAGTTACAATGTAACTGCTGCGCCATTTAAGGTGGAACGGGAAAATGCTGTAGTTACATTCTGAATGTAAATGCTGCGCCATTTAAGGTGGAACGGGAAAATTCGAACGAGAAGCTGGCGAATATGATGGTTGTGGCATTGTTCTACCAGAGAGAGTGTAGCTACAGTACTAAAGTGGAGTACATTACTAAGAGGTAACACGCTGCTGTCCACTTATTCAAGGCAATGGATAACCAAGTGTTCGAGTCCACGGCCGAGCGCACCTTTCAGTACCAGCAGAGCCTGCCTCCTCTACCCGTGCCTTCTCTGGAGGGAACCCTCTGCAAATACTTGGACGCGGGTAAGAGTTCGTCATTCAGTGAAGTTGGCAGCATTTGCAGTCCTGTAGCGACGTGCTGCTCTGAAAATAGGTGAAAGTTCAAGGCTGCCCTTATGTAAGTGGTGTGTAGTCATTAGGCAGAAGTTGAGAGCCCAAACAAGGAACTTCCACTGGGAGTTTATTAAAGAAGCACTCTGGACAAAAAACTGCAACATTTGTTCCGTGTGAGACTGCCCCAATAGTCTCTAGAGACAGATTTCTGGGTTTAAAGCCATTTCTGATTTATCCTGAAGGTGGGAGGAGCTTTTAAAAAGCTGATTTGGGGTCAATGCTTGAGAGCGGCCAGTTTGAAGTTTGAATTATCCCAGATAGCAAGCATATATCGCTGGCTTGATAAGGTCAGCACCCCGCTGACTGTTTGCCACTGTGGGTCCACCCTCGGACCACCCAGATTACTGTCCAATACAAGCTCTAAGTAGTTTTTAATCTCCTCCAGCTGATTTTAAACGCACAGAGACTTTTATTTTAGAAAATAAACTAAGATAAATATTGCAAACAACTGAGAGAACAAAAATAATTACTAGAATTTTGGAATTTTGTCTACTACTCTGCTTAACCACCGGTTGGGCCGCCCAGAAAACACTGAGCAAAACGCCAGTGGACCGCCAGCTCTGCCATCAGCGGTCCAACAGTGGCCCACTATCCTCTTGCTATCAGGGTGTGCTAATGCAGTTTGACATCTGGCTAATACAGGAAAAAGCCAGACTGCTAATGTTACTGCTTGGAAGCCAAATATCAGATCTGTATTTATTAGCCTCTACATCAGTGGCTATGCTAGTGGTCACAATTTCATTATTGGGCTTTGGGTATTGTGTTGAGAGAACACTGATGAATGAAAAGGATACAAAATTATGGAACCAAAATTGTGTCAAACCTGTGAGGCTGAGGGGTTCAATGAAGCGCTACAGAATATTATATAACACGACAATAATATAGACTCACCAAGCTCTTTATTAAGAATACTGTACAAATTTTGAGGGCCTCCCTTTGCTCTCAAAACAGCCCCAATTCGTCATAGCATGAATTCCACAAGATGTTGGAAATGTTCCTTTAAGATTCTGGTCCATGTTGACAGGATGCACATGGTCAGCAACCACACTCAAATAGGCTGTGGCATGTAAGCGATGATTGGAATTAATGGGCCAAGAAAACATTCCCCACACCATTACACCACCTTCACCAGCCTGGATTGTTCACACAAGGCAGCTTGTGTCCATGGATTCACGCTGTTGGTGCCAAATTCTGATTCTGCTCTCAGTGTGCTTCTGCTAAAATCAAGATTCATTAGACCAGGCTACATTTTCCAGTCTTCATCTGTCCAGTTTTGGTGAGCCTGTGCCCACAGCAGCCTCAGCTTACTATTTTTGGCTGACAGAAGTGGAGCCCGGCGTAGTCTTCTGCTGTTGTAGCCCATCCACCTCAAGGTTCGACATCTTGTGCATTCTGAGGTGCTTCACTGCTCACCACAATTGTACGGAGTAGTTATCTGAGTCACCATAGCCTTTCTGTCAGCTAGAACCAGTCTGGCCATTCTCTATTGACCTCTCTTATCAATAAGGCCTTTCCCGTCTGCAGAAGTGCCACTCACTGAATGTTTTTTCTTTATTGCACCAACATGAGTGAATATTAAAGATTGCTGTGTGAGGAGATCAGTAGATATATAAATACTCAATCCAGGCTGTCTGCCATCACGCCACGGTCAATATCACTGTCACAGTCGAGATGACGTTGCTGCTGGTCTGTATCTGCACACACACGATTGGATGATTAGATAATTGCATGAATGAGTAGGTATAAAGGTGTTCCTAATAAAGTGAGTGTATGAAATGCTAGTTTTAAGCCAGAATGCTTGTTGATTGATTGTGAAGCACCACATTAGCCCCTCTTTCAGTGCACTCACTTACTTGCTTATGCATTCAGTCACTCATTTATTCTTTGGCTGGCTCATGTATTCAGGTTCTGAAGGGGGGTCACCACCCCTCTAAATTTTAGAACTTTTTAACATTTTTTAAATCAGATTACAATCCTTACTAGTAAGAAAATCCCCTCATACTTTTTTAGACTCTCACTTGTTGTGTCGACAGTTTCATGAAGAGTTGGTGCCAAGTTAGCTTGTGAACGAGTGCCAGGACTTCAGACGTGTTGATTCACATTCATTATGCTCAGGCAATGTCTTTTTTGTTAATCGGACTGCATCTTGACTAGCTGTCAGTCTTTCTCTCAATAATAAGAAGAGGCTGATATAAAAATCTACTTTCATCATTTGGGGAAAGTCAGAATCAGAACAATTTCCATTGTATGAAGAAGGACGGGCCTAAATGAACTCCTGTAGAAGTGCTCAGCTGCCCCTGCCCACAACATGCAACCCAGGTTTAGGTCCTTTAAAGGGAAATTCCACTGATTTTTCAAAACTGTCGACATACTTACATTAGGATGTAAACAAAGTCATTCAAAAGGGTTTGATGTGAAATTCATAAATGTTCACAGTGGTGGTGATGGGAACCGGACGTCTGAATAGTTTAATGCCTCCAAAAGCTATAATACAAGTATTTATTAGATAAAATACGAATGCACTGCCTGATGCCTAAAGGGTTTGGCCGAGAGATTTGTGAGGTAGGCTCACTGGTTGTTTTGGATAGTAAATAAAATGCATGTCACTGCTATCAGAACAAAACCTTGTATCTCCATTTTTGCTGTTTTTCAGTTTTGACATAATGTGCAAATGCCTGTTGCACTTCACACTGTGTGTAAATTTCATAATGAATGGCCCAAAACGACTTGGAAAAACTTCTGGTTCCATTGACTTACATCAAAAGTAAAGTAGGTTTTTTTCTTCTCCTGAAAAGTTACCGCTTTGGAGATACGAGGTTTTGTTCTGACAACAGCAGCATATTTGTGTTGTAGACATTGTGACCCCTGGTTCCTATCATCACCATTATAAAGTAATCTGAGTCAGTATGTTGGTTTAGAATGGCACATTTCACATCACCACTCTGAATGACTTTTGTTTCCGTCTCAGTGATGGAATTATGCAGAAAGTTTGAAAAACCTTACACTGTGTATCCTTGTTTTTCATTCTTCCAGTCAAGCCTTTTGCTTCAGAGGACGAGTTTCGCAACACTGCAGCCATTGTGAAGCGTTTCGGGGAGGGCATTGGAAAGCATCTTCATCAGAAACTTCTACAGAGAGCCAAGAACAGGCGCAACTGGGTAACTCCTAATACATCCAGATAAAACCTGTTACTGATGAACTGCATACAGCCACCAAATTACCACACTTATTTAACCTTAACTCTTAAGTACAGACAGTGCCGGTGCTGTATGTGTGGATGCTTTCTAGTGGCTTTGACTCAGACTTGATTAAAAACCCTGACAGACTGACTACTCTTTGTTTGCTTGTGTAGCTGGAGGACTGGTGGCTAGACTCAGCATATCTGGAGCTTCGCATGCCAACTCAGATCAATGTCAATTTCGGGGGTCCGGGGCCGTACTTGGAGCACTGCTGGCCCCCTTGTGAGGGTACCCAGCTCGAGAGAACCAGCATGATTGTGTGGCAAACACTGCAGTACTGGGACCTTATCCGCACGTGAGCATCACCTTCTCCTGCAGATATGATGGATTTTTCCATATTATTTAAATATAACTTTTTGTTTTAATTATGTTTTAGTTATTAAATGCATTTCCTAATGTGGAAGCATATTGAATACAAAACGCTTACTCTGGGGTAATATACCGCATTATTTATTTATTTATCACATGGCTGCGGCACAGTTTGATTTTCCAAATTAAGCTAAACTCTGGCCCCCCAGAGTAAGAGCACAGTTGCATAAAACAAATTAAGGATTTCTCTTGAGTACCAAAGGGAATTCGTTAAGGGTGTTGCGTAAAACCCCTCAGACATACTGCAGTGACCAGTGTTTTGCCATAGAAAATCCCAGTGTATCCATGGCATCGTTCTCTCATTAACAGAACTTGTGGCTAGCAGCTAAGCTAGCACAGCTAAATACTGAAACTAAACTGACTCTCCTAAATCAGTTTTGATAATCTGTTATTCCTGCCAAGATGAAAAATGAACTGCTTAGTCCAAGTGTTTTCCACTCAGTGGACGCCCAACACACTGAGGACATAAACATGCAGAATATCTCTCACTTCAGATGAAAAACTCCACTGAAAAGCACCATGGACATTTTTAATACAGTCAATGTGAATAAATGTATTGATTCATGCTCTACATTTAAATACCTCTTGTTTTGTACAATCACTCTGTGATTGGCCGTTTTTATGTCGGTCAATCACTTTACTGACAAAGGGGGGGTTTTAAGCCAAGTTCAACAACAAAGGTTATCAGCCTCTGATAAACAGGTGGAGCAGAGCTGAGTAAAGCTTATCTCACAAAGATATCCCTGTTGTTGGAAGAAAACCTGGTATCTCTGTTTTTTTTTGTGGGGGGGGATTTTAACCTAATTTTCCCCCCAATTTATTTGTCGCCAATTCCACGCGCGAGTTAGGACTTCTTTTCGAACTGTTGCTCATGCAACGTCATTGGACAGCTGAACGCACTCGAGGGAAAGCGGCAACCGCCAGATCTGTTACGTCAGCTAACAACACCTGCGCTGACTAGCATCGTGTCAAGTGATGGGGGGGCAAAGGAGGGGCCTTCCTACCCACCCAGAGAGCAAGGCCAATTGTGCTCTCTTGGACTCCCGGGCATGGACGGCTGTAGCATCACCAGGGATCAAACTCGTAATCTCCTGATGATACGGCCAACGCTTAGACGGTTGCGCCACTTGGGAGCCCCCGTTTTTCAGTTTTTGACATAATTTGAAAATGCCTGTTGCCTTTTACATTGTGTTTAAATTTCATGATGAATGGACCAAAAGAAACGACCCAAAATAATTTGGAAAAAAGTCTGGTTCCATTGATTTACATTAAAAGTAAAGTAGGTTTTTTTCCTTCTCCTGTAAAGTTACCATGTTGGAGATAAGAGGTTTTCTTCTGACAACAGTGATATATATATATATATATATATATATTTACTTTCAGTAATTCCATAACATTATTTTCATCACAGTATTCACATGAACTAATAATAACGATTAATTAATATCAAGAGCGAACATACTAATACAATAACACTTATCTTAAAAACAGTCAGGGAGAAAAATCACTCTTATCTAAAACTCCTGATCATTACAGTTGATAGAGCACTATAACTAAATGCTACCTTTCCCTATTCAGATAGTACTAATGTAGCTTTCCACTTTGCTGTTGCTCTTGTTAGTCTCCCTCCTACGAGCACTGTCTAGTGTAGTCTGCTGAAGGGGTCCTGCAGTGCTAAAGTTACTTGTATTGCTGATATTGTCACCTCTGCAGTGTGTTTTTGCGCTTCTGTGATTGAACTAATTCTGGGTGCGACAGTAGCTGGAAATAAGGTTTTACCAGGTGAGCCATCAATAGAACATTTAAATACTGTATTTAAACGGAAGGAGTACAGCCACAGAATCCCAACAACGGGGTGCGAAAAGACAAAACATAATATACAGCATATATTCCACATTAATGTTCATGATTTTGGTGATACAGTGTGTATGACTTAAGAATAACTAAACATAACTTAATATCATATTTAGTTTGTATTGTTTTCCGTATATTTACTGAAAAAATAGGCCTTAGGATGTTATAAGCTTGTAGTTTTATAATGTTAAAATCAATAAAAATAGGCATAAAATGACAAAAACATAACAAATCTGCTTTAGAAACAGTGTTTTCAAAATTATTATTGTTTCATCGCATAGGCTTTATTGCAAAGTGATGTCATTTGCATCCCCCCCATTGGACACAAAGGTAAGAGTGTACCTTTGTGGCATTTTTATTTATTTATTTTTTTTATCTGTGGCTCTGACTGAACTCACATTTTCTGGTGCCATTAAAAAAACCCAGATCAGTCCATGAACATTGAACTCAAAGCTGAAAGTAAAGTCTCTAATAATTATCACGTTTGCCACTGTCCATTTAAGGGAATAGAATACAGTCATGTCACAAAACTCCTATAAAGAGCAGATTTGATAATGAAAATTTCTTACATAACTGCTTTTGCCTTCCATTCCACAAAATCACATTAATGAACAATAACACAGTTTAGACAGCAATACTTGCCTTGATTTAGATGATAAAATATCTTCATTTTAGATACGTCCAAAGCATTTGAAGAAAAAAAAACATGGAATGTATTCTAGTCAGTGATGGTCATTTATGCTGCATTTGCTTGTCTTGAATGCCTGCTGAACTGTGTTTGTTAGAGTATTATACCTTACTGTGCTGTGTGTTCTCGTGTTGTGGATCAGGGAGAAGTTGGCTGTCCATAAAGCAGGAAACATGCCTTTTGACATGCACCAGTTCCGCATGCTCTTCTGTACGTGCAGAGTGCCTGGAATTACCAAGGATAGCATTCTCAACTACTTTAAGACAGGTATGACTCTGGGCCACATGTAGGGACGACCGTAGCCCCAGCGCCCACAGTGTGCTTATGTTTAATATTTGACTGCAGCTTGTTACGCAAACTGTATGTAGCTCCACTTACTAACTGCTTGCTTGTGAACTGCAGGGTTTAAAAGATGCAGTGAAGTAATGGAGCTGTCAACAAGCTGGAGATAAAACAGAAAATTCAAATTCAGTGGTGACATGGCAGTGTTATCCTAGGGTTTCAGTCATGTGATGTTTCTGTTGTGGTCACCATATTTGGGACCATTTTCGCACAAACGTAACTGGAGGTGAAAGATGGCTAAAATTGCTCTCCTTACTCTGGAAGAGAAAAATGTTACCTTGACAAAGTCGATAAAATAGTCTGTGATCCTTATACAGTTTCCCCTCTGAACTCCTGGTTCCACTTAAACTGGCGGAAAAGCTACCAAATTTGTGGTTTCCTGACATTTATATTTACCTCATACTCAGCCCCTCTCCCTGTTCTGGAGTCTCTCAAAGCATTTAAAAGCACAGAAGCCCACTAGCTCTTCACGTCAGGGTGGGTAAAGGATCCCATGGTGTTGCATAAAGAGGAGATACACTCTGTCATCATAGGAGGAACGACATCAGCTAATTAACACAGATGAGATCAATGCTGGCCTTTAGATAACTTTAGCTGATGTTAACAGCCGAGAGATGAACAGTCGTCCCCCTAACGGAGCTGCAGACAGCCGGGATAACTTTACTCTCTGTTTCTGGAGATTTAAATGAGGTTTGAATGGAGAAACATGAACGTTAAATATCAGACTGAATGTCGTGGGGCGGAAAACGACGTTGTGTTTCGACAGACGTGATTCTGTAAGTTTGCTAGTGCAGTTAGTTCAGAGTTCAGCTCCAGTCCTGAAACCCCTGCACTGCATAACTGTGGTTTCCTGGTTAAAATACCTGATATTATTAGCTAATTAATCCCTTCTTGAGTTGAACGAGGTGAACAGCAGAGAGAAACACTAAACTATACAGTGCAGCAGCTCCAAGCCTGGAGTCTGAAACACTGAATTAAAGGTCTGTGTGTCTCTCAGCTTCTGTCGCATCTTGCAGGTGAATCATTCATAAGTACAACAAATTGAAGGCATCGCACAGCGCAGTCACTCCCTGATGTGTGTTCTTTGTGTTGTAGAGAGTGAGGGTCCTTGTCCTTCTCATGTTGTGGTAATGTGTCGCGGGAGGATCTTTTCGTTTGATGTTCTCTGCGATGGACGCATCCTCACTCCTCCTGAATTACTGAGGTAATGTTTCTGTCCTAAATACAACATCTCACTGATAGCTGTTCTTTACTGTTACAAGAGGCGGATAAAATAATAATAATAACTCCTCATAAAAAGGAATACACTGCAGTTTAAAACTTTAGAATCACGTGTTATATTTAGTTCATCTGTAAATGAATGATCTATTATCTATAGAAAAGTCTATGTTATCTGCCTCAGGATTTAATCACCACTTTTCGAATACAAGGTTAATTTTATTATTACTTCATTCTCAATGTTTTAGAATGATCTACAGCTCTGGTCAACCTTTTTGTTTTGAATCATTGATGCATAAAATGCATAAAATTAAATTAATCTGCAACCATATTGGTTTTATATTGTTGGAAACATTGATTCCGAACTCGTGAGTACTGGTGTAGTTTGGCAGAAAAATCAAATTTATATAATTTTCCATTTGGCCCAAATGTAGCTGATCAGCCAAGATATATATGGTGTGTTTGTTGATCATCTTTGGTGTGACATTTTAGGCAGCTCACCTACATTAAAAAGAGCTGTGATGGAGAGCCAGAGGGGGATGGAGTGGGTGCCCTGACCAGTGAGGAGAGGACCCGTTGGGCTAAGGTCTTAGAGCTCCATAAGAATTCAGTCATAACTGAACTTTGCTCAGTCAGTCATGATAAAGCAGAATGTCTCACCACCAGTCATTATCAAGCTTGAGTTTGATCTCTCTCTCTCTCTCTCTCTCTCTCTCTCTCTCTCTCTCTCTCTCTCTCTCTCTCTCTCTCTCTCTCTCTCTCTCTCTCTCTCTCTCTCTCTCTCATCTCTCTCTCTCTCTCTCTCTCTCTCTCTCTCTCTCTCTCTCTCAACCATTGTGATACTGTAGGCCCGGCAGCATCTAATCTCCATTGATCCTGTAAATGAGACCATACTGGAGACCATTCAAAGCTCACTGTTTGTTATTGCACTGGACGATGCCAAACCATATTCCACCCCAGACAACTACACAGCGGTAACACATACATATACACCATTCATCTTGACGAGGGCTGCAAAGATTGGTTGACGATGCAATTTACTCATTATGAACATTTTATCAAAAAAAAAAAAAATCAATTTAAATTGAATATCTGTAGTGAGCTATAATGCTAAAGGGGAATTCCATTAAAGTTACCGCACAATTCAGTCATTGAGATGTAAACAAAATAATTCTGAGTGATTTGATGTGAAAATGGTGCATTGTAGAGACACTTAGATTTCTTTACAATGCTGATGATGGAACCAGGGCTCATGATGTCCGCAACACAAATATAGCCATTTTATCTCAAATGATCAGTGAACCTATTTGTGTGTTTTGAGTTTACACTGATCAGGCATAATATTATATTATGACAACCTCCTTGTTTCTACGCTCATTGTCCATTTTATCAGCTCCCTTTACTCTATAGGTGCACTTCCACTGTCCACTCACTGTCCACTCTATTAGACACTCCTACCTTGTCGGTCCACCTTGTAGATGTACAGTCAGAGACGATAGCTCATCTGCTGCTGCACAGTTTGTGTTGGTCATCCTCTAGTCCTTAATCAGTGGTCACAGGACGCTGCCCACAGGACGCTGCCCACAGGACGCTGTTGGCTGGATATTTTTGGTTGGTGGACTATTCTCAGTCCAGCAGCGACACTGAGGTGTTTAAAAACTCCAGCAGCACTGCTGTGTCTGATCCACTCAGACCAGCGCAACACACACTAACAGACCACCACGTCAGTGTTACTGCAGTGCTAAGAATGATCCACCACCCAAATAATACCGGCTCTGTGAGGGTCCATGGGGGTCCTGACCACTGAAGAACAGGGTAAAAGGGGGCTAACAAAGTATCAGAGAAACAGACGGACTACAGTCTATAACTGTAGAACTACAAAGTGCACCTATATAGTAAGTGGAGCTGATAAAATGGACAATGAGCGTAGAAACAAGGTGGTGGTCATAATGTTATGCCTGATCGGTGTATATTCTTAATGTTGGGCTCCCGAGAGGTGCAGCTGTCTAAGCGTTAGCCCTATTATCAGGAGATCGCAAGTTCGATCCCTGGTGATGCTACAGCCATCCATGGCTGGGAGTCCAAGAGACCACAATTGGCCTCACTCTCTGGGTGGGTAGGATGCCCCCCCCCATTAATCAGAGCGATGCTAGTCAGCGCAGGTGTCTTTTAGCTGACGTAAAAGATCTGGCGGTTGCCGCTTTCCTCCACGTGTTCGGCTGTCCAACGACATTCGAAAAGACACGGTGGAGCTTCACAGGTCTCGGAGGAAGCCTGTGCTAGTTTTTGCCCTCCTAGTACTGGTGCTGTTGTGTGACTGGGGGAGTCCTAGAGGGTGAAATCAGATCGGAGAGAAAATTGGGGAATATCGTAATGTTCATAGTGGTAAAGTACTGTTGAATCTGATTTCATAACTACTTTCCTGTGGGTACTATTTTGCCTTACATCACCCTGTGTGTACAAACCCAGTTCCAAACTTGGGACAGTAGGTAAAATGCAAGTAAAAACAGAAAGCAGTGATGCTGAAATCTACTTTGACCTCTGTTTGAAGAAAAAAAAACAGTAAACAGTAAAAAAGTATGAAAAGCAGTACAAAAGCAAGATCTTGAATGTTTTATTTAAAACTTATATTTTATATATATATTTAAAACTCCATTGTTTTTTTTGTACATATTTGTAACACGTTCCAAAAAGTGGCAGTTTACTATGAACTGTGAACTGATACTGTGAACTGTTCAATAAACCGGTGATGCTATTATACTTAGATATAAAAGGAGCATCCAGGAAAAGGCCTAGTCCTTTATGAGCAGGAATGGGGAACAGCAAAAATTCCAATAGTTAATCCAAAAGTAACACATCTCAGCCAGGGATTGCAAGGATTTTTGCTGTTTCACCCACTAGAGCACATAATATAATCAAAATCTTTAGGGAATTCTGAGAAATCTCTGTGCGTAAAGGAAAACACAGAAAACCACAAATAACTGCCCCGTGGTCTTTGACCCCCTTAGATGGCACTGCATTAAAAACTGCCATGTTCCTGTGAAGAATATCATGGCTTGGGCTTGGTAATACTTTGTTAAGGCTATTCTACTATAGCACAGTGCAAATCATATGTTAAAAGCTCAAGCGGAGCTCAAGCTCACGGACTGATGGACAGTGGAAACGTGTATCGTGTCTGATGAGTCAACCTTTCAGATTATTTATGAAAATTATGGACGATGTGTTCTCCGGGCCAATCTCCAGATTGTTGGGGGTGGTATGGGGATGTATTAGAGGGGGACCTCAGGCACCATTAATGCTGAACACGTTTTAGAGCAGCTTGTGCTGCCTTTTAGATGCTGTCTTTTTCAGGGACGTTCATTTTGTTCTGCATGATCAACGCCAAGCCACATTCTGCATGTTTTACAACAGCATGGCTGTGTAATCAGAGACTGCGGCTGCTAGACAGGCCTGTCTGCAACTCGAAACCGCCTCACATTAGAAACGTGTGTTATTAAGCTCAGAATACAACAACAAAGGCCCCACATGGGTGCACAGCTGAAGACTTGAATAACTGAAGAATGGGAAAAAATTACACTTTCAAAACGGGATCAGTTTGTGTCTTCAGTCCTCTAAATGTTTATTAAGTGTTGTGTAAAAGAAAGGTGATGTAACTCAGTGGTAAACATGTTCCTGCCCAGCATTTTTGGAATGTATTATAGGAATCAAGTTTGGAATGAGCATACATTTACAAAAACCATGAAGTGCATAAGGTTTATATATATATATATATATATATACACAAATATTGTGTTTTTGTACTGTTTTCAATTTAATACAGTCAAAACAAATTTGTCATTGCTTTCTTTTTATCGCTTTTTTTTTATTAGCATTTCACATACAGTACCAACTTTTTGGAATTTGGTTTGTACCTCCGCACCATAATACACTCATATATAATGCTGGCCGAAAAGCTTATGACAACACTGTGGTAAAACAATGTTTCAGGCATCTGACAACATATTCAGAACCTCTTAATGTAATAACTTTCTGTAAGGAAGCTTTTAGTGGCGTTCAGCTCTACAGGTCTGTTCTCTGTTGACCACCACTGTTAACAATTCTGACTCTGTAAGCTTCTCTAGAACAGAGAATTTCACACCAAAATGCTCTGAAGGACTTTGTTTACATCTTACCCATTTAATTATGTGGAAGTTTGGAAAATCTTTAGATTTTTTCCTTTAATATGATGATCACAGTCCTTCTGACTGCAGTACACTACAGGAAGTGTAGGGGACGATATTGCCTCTGTTTCACTCCACACCATGGGATCCTTTACCCACCCTGACGTGAAGAGCCGGTGGGCTTCTGTACTTTTAATTGCTTTGAGAGACACCAGAACAGGGAGAGGGGCTGAGTATGAGGTAAATATAAATGTCAGGAAAACACAAATTTGGTAGCTTTTCCGTCAGTTTAAGTGGGACCAGGAGTTCAGGGGGAAACTGTTTAAGGATCACAGACTATTTGATCAACTATGTTGAGGCAATGTTTTTTTCTCTTACAAAAAATGGAGAGTAATTTTAGACATCGTTCACATCTAGCTTCAGCAAAGCCAGAAATTCAGTCTCAAATATGGCGGCCACAACAGAAAAATCACATGACCGAAACCCTAGGATAGAAATCAGTTGCAAAGACACTGCAGAGAAAAGCTGTGAAAGTGCTGAACTATACTTGCATGCATAATGACACTTAATAGGCCGGTGATATATTTTTTTCCCTGTCTCTCTGTAGATGACCCTCCTGTCTCTCACGGGTGATCCTACAACTCGCTGGGGTGATAAATCCTACAACAAGATCTGCTTTGCTGATGGAACCTTTGGCTCAACCTGTGATGTAAACATAGCACATTCATCATTGTTATTATCAGTCATCATCTGTTGAATCATAACATATGTCTAATAAATGTATATGTATCTATTACAGCATACACCGTATGATGCTATGGTTTTGGTATCTCTCTGTTATTATATTGACCAAAAACTGAAGGCCGCTGCAGGAAAATGGAAGGTAAGAAATTACAAGGTTGGGAGTGGAAAGGTACTTTTTTGAATAACTGTTATTTCCACTTGCAACTGTTCTTTTCTGTCATTTCAAAGCAGCCTATTCCCTGATCATGATTATAATGGGTTATTCCATCAACACAACCACATGAAACAAACTGCAGAGGAGGTTCATTGGTGTGATTTATTGGGAGCAGAGAAGGAAATTCAAATAAAAGTTATCCAAGTGCAGTAGAGAAACAACAGCAAGCAGGCATTCAAATGTAGTCTTTCATTGCTACGCTATAGTATTGGGCAGCTCGGTTTTATCTGCTAACTTGTATTTGCTGTCCACTGAGCTATCTAGTTAAGTGTCCTTATCATTAGTTAAACAAAACGAATGGTATTCATTAACATCCAAATTTCAGAAGTCTGGAAATTCTTTTCATTCTGTTAAAATCCTTACAACGTGCTGAAAAGGCTGTAGAGATCCTTCCTATTCTGCACTTAATGGAAAAGTGACATCTTGCTGGTCCTCACTTGAATACATGCTTTTGACTGAGCAGAAGGATTGCCTTTGGATACTGAGGTTAAGACTAGAGTTAGGTTTAGGTTTATGACTTGGCTACAGTAATACAAAATCAGTGGAAATCAGCGGATGTCCTCGCAATGTAAGAGAAACGTGTGTGAGTGTGTGTAAATGTGTGTATGTGAATGCACGCAAGTGCATTAATGTTATTGTGTTTCCTGTAGGGTTCAGAGGTGGTGCGTGACATACCTGTGCCAGAGGAGCTGGTGTTCACTGTGGATGATAGAGTCAAGAGAGACATTGCACTCGCTAAAGAGCAGTACACAAAAACTGTACGTTTTTAACACACACAGGAAACATTTCCACTGTAACAGAGCTTTTTCACTGTTCCAGATTCAATGTGGCCTAAGTTGTCATAGTAGTGAAACTTTACAGTGTTTACAGATGTTAATGTCGAGGACATTTTGACTCATTAAGGAATTTACCTAATTTTTCTATGAAACGTTCGTTTGGGGAGCAGTTTTCCTTTTAGAGCGTAGGGAGCACGCTTGACAAGGGCTACAAGCTTTTCTTCAAAATGTACTTTTATGACTACCACTATAAAGATCTCATGACCCAACAAGGAGAGTTAATGTTAACTTTGGCTACGTTCACATTAAAAGCCTCACTGCTCAAATCTGATTTTTTGCTCAAGTCCGATCTCTCTCACACGATGGTTCACACTCGTTTAGGTCACTCAAATCTGTCATTAATGTGAACGAACCGGCGTCCAGAAATGACCCGCATGTTCATCATCAGCACAAACTAACGAGCAGAACGAGCTTCACTGTGAAGATAATTAACTCTGATCAGCTCTCAGCTTCATTATTAGAGTGAGACGAAGGAGAAAAAGGTGAGATGAGCTGCTTTTCCACCGTTTACAGGCTTTAACTTCTGTTCAGCGCTGCATGGTAACGCTGAATGATGGCGCAGTGGAAAGAAAGCACATGAATTCAGATCTAAGCATCACATTAAGGTCACATGGCCACGAATTGGATACGTATCCGATCTAGGACCACATATGAAAGTGGCTCAGGTCAGATTTGAAAAGATCACATTTGTGTCCACACAACCCTGAAAACGTCAGATCTGAGTCACAGGGCAAAAAATTGTATTTGTGCCACTTCAACCTGGTAATGTGAACGTAGCTTTAGCTGTCAAAAGCAGTTTACTAAGAAGTGCAAAGGGCTACACGATCTGGGGAAAATATCCAATTTTTCTGACCAATATTGTGGTTGCGATTTAAAGTGCTGTAAATGGTTTTAAATTAGGCTAAACTAAATGTCGTGTGACAGACTATTAGGTCGAGTTTTCCCTTTTTAAAACATGAGGCAACTGAATAATGTAGAATGTAAATAAAACAGCAGCTCTTTTGATTTGAAAACTTGAATTCTTTTGAATTCAGATTTTGATATAAAACAATTAATTGTTCAGTCATTGTGCAGGTTGGGAGTAAAGTTGAAGAAGACAGCCATTGTCTTTTGGTTGTATTGTGTGATTTAACTTTATGTTTTTAGAATTTCCCCATGACGGACATTAAGGTCCTAAATATTTTTCTTACTCTTTATTATTCTGCCTGAAGTTGACTTGCGACATTTTTGGGGTTTTATTAACCAAACATGGTCCATTTTATTTATTTATTTATTTATTTTTACATGACTAACCTCTTTTATCCACAGGCTATTTGTATTACTGCACCTTTACAACTGATATATTTAAATAATCTCTGTTCTGATTGGTAGCCCTGTGTCTCATTCAAAAAGCAGTCCAGGCAAAAACACTCATGATAACTTAAGTGTAAATAAGTGGGGTTTGTGATGAATATAAGAAAAATGGTTGCTTTCATTACAATTTTCTTTGACTGTCTAGGTAAGAGTTTACACTACTTGAATGGGCGGAGCTAAAGTGATTAGACATATGTAAATGTGTTGGTTTTCATGACATCACAGAAACAATTTTTGCAGCAGTAAAACAGTTTTTGGAATTTATTTAAACAGATGTTTTCATTTCCAGTCTCAGGACCTGCAGGTTGCCTGCTATGCCTTCACCTCCTTTGGGAAAGCAGCGATCAAGAAGAGGAAGCTTCACCCAGACACGTTTGTGCAGCTGGCCATGCAGTTAACCTACTACAGACAGCACGGAAAGTGAGAGACAGTCTACTGCTAGGCTGCCATACAGAATTCACAATGAGGAGGTTCTCACAGAGGGCAGTAATGGCAGTACTTCAGCTGAAATTGTGTCTTTCTAACTGTTTTCTTTTTATCTCCCACTCAGGCCGGGTAGCTGCTACGAGACGGCGACTACGCGCAGGTTCTATCACGGCCGCACAGAGACCATGAGGCCGTGCACAGTGGAAGCCCAGCAGTGGTGCAAAATCATGCTTAACCCTGCAGCAAGTGTAAGCACTCTGTACCAACACTGATATGTCTATACCTGACCTTAGATGGTTAGAGCCCAGGGGTCGGCAACCCAAATGTTAAGGAGAGCCACTTTGTCCTTTCAACGAAAATCAAACCACCTTGGGAGCCACATTTTATGTGCATTTTACCATCTCTTTCAATTGGTATGTGATTGGTTCCTAGGTGCCTCACGGTTGTAAAAATATGCTGCTTTGAAATCAGATGAATCTTTCTGAATCACCCTGTGTTAACAACATTTAGCTTCACAATTCTAGCGCAAAACTAAAGAAGGAAATGTCTTGGGTAAGTGACTACATTTAGAGGGAAAAAAATTATGTGAAATTTTGCTAAACCAGGAGTCATCTCTTTTACAGCCCTGTTGCGGTTCCATAGCAGAATTAGATTTGTAGGTTTGCCGGAGATGCAAGAAAAGTGGCTACAGCTTAGCTAAAGCTTAAAGCAGCGCAAAGTAAGTCTGCATTTTCGTTTATATATTATATTTTTAGCCTATACTAGTACATCAGCACATACTGAGACATACTTACTGCCAAGATGGTAAAATGGACATAAAATGTTGTGGCTCCCAAGGTTGACATTTGTTGAAAGGACAAAATTTCTCTTAACATTTGGGTTGCCGACTTCTGTGCTAAACGATTGCCTTAAAACTCCTTATGTCCAGTGGTTTTAACGCTAGCCTTAATCTATAGGCTGAAGAGAAGAGACGAGCCCTTCTTGCTGCCTTCAACAAACACAACAAATTGATGGATGAGGCACAAAAAGGAAGAGGTTTGTGATGCTTCTGACATAGTTTTCTGCTAGTTTGGCATTTACTGTAATGAGAACCTGAAAGCACTGGTGTCTCTGATCAGTGACTCCAACACTGTTCAGTCCCAAAATGCAACATTCGTCTTGGAATTAGTCATATTTTAGTTAAATGTACTACACTAAGCCTCCAACACTATGGGATTAGTCAAATGTGGTCTAACTTGCATTGTGAGTTAGAGGGTCAACATGCTTTCTAGCCCAGCTTAAACATGTATGTGTTACAGATTATGTGCTGCATGTTTTTTCTCTTTCTCTATTTAATTGCTCAGGCTTTGATAGACACCTCTTGGGCCTGTACCTGATTGCCAAGGAAGAGGGACTTCCTGTTCCTGAGCTTTACTCTGATCCTCTCTACGCTAAGAGGTTTGCCTCAGCAAAGCAATTTCTTACTCTGATATGGTCAATAATATTGGACAGATAGGGGACTGTAGTGCTGCTTGGAGTTTGGATGAACAAAACTACTTTTGATGATCAAGAATCCTGTTTCTGAAAGCACTGGTACGATGGTAGAGTGGATGTCACTTTGAAAACTCGCTACAACTGTTATGGATCCTTTAACTATACGACTCATATCATGTGAAACCAAACTTTCCTTACTTTTCATGCAATAATAGTACTATTCACTCCCCAGTCCTTATGATCCATATGTGGAAACTAAACTGTTAGAACAGCTAGTTTTACATTAATTGTTTTGTGATTTGTCATGGAAACCAATGCATTTTCATATATCCAATATATGCACCTATTTAGCATAGAGCAGTTTAGCTCCACCACTTCACAATGAAGTTATGAAGTGTTTCATCTTGGACGAAAAATGGTCTAAAAATGAATTCAGACATGTTCGTACATGAACCCTCACAGATGTCTGCTATTAGTGACATACTTTTTGTTTATTGTTATTACCATATTGGCCTTTGCAGTACTGGTGTCACAGAAGGTTGCAATATGCAAATAACACCCCTAATCAACCACGATATATATATTTTTTTTATTCCAACAAAGTTCATTTATTTATTTATTTTCTATGCAGGCTGATATTTAGCCACGTCACATTATTGATTCACCAGTGTTTGAATTTATTGTACAACATATCACAATCACATTATATAACAATGTAAGTGCAATAGTAGTATTTAGTCCTAATGGCTATGTGTTTTTTCCTTTCCCCCTTTTGTCTTTGAGCAGTGGAGGAGGAGGAAACTTTGTCCTTTCTTCTAGCCTTGTGGGTTACACAACTGTTCTGGGAGCTGTTGCTCCAATGGTGCACCACGGCTATGGCTTCTTCTATCGCATCCGTGATGACAGGTGGGACTAACAGTGTATTTGCATTTCGCTGTTGTCGGAAGAAAACCTTTTATCTACATTTTTTGACATTTTGCAGTTTTTGACATAATTTGAAAATACTTGTTGCCCTTAACATTGTGTGTAAAGTTCATGAAGAATGGACCAAAAAAAAAGACTCAAAATTGCTTGGAAAAAGTCTGGTTCCATTGACTTACATTAAAAGTAAAGTTGTTTTTTTCTTTCTCCTGTAAAGTTACCATTTTGGAGGTTTTCTTCCAACAGCAAAATCTTTCTGACATAAACCACCCATCAGAAAAGTTTACAGATGGTTGCTGCTCCAACATTTAAATCATATTTTTATTTTTTAACAAGTAAGTGAAGAAGTAAAACAGCTTCCAGTATATTTTGCAACACTGCTTCAAGTTCATCAAAGTGTCTTCTTTGGTATGCAGAGCGAGTTGTGCTTATTTAATGATTGAAGGTGGTAGTTCAACATGCAGTCTATGCTTCAGACACTTAGTGTAGGTGAGTGTGCACCTCACAACAAGGGGATAAAAAATATGTGAGGCATAGCACAATGTCAGGTGTTCTTTCAATATGAATTATTGCAAACTGACAAAGAAAACATGCTTTTAAAAGGATACCAGAATTGTTGACAGGCTGCATGTTTCAAGTTAAGGTAGACATTTTTACATAATTTAGGATGTTCATGTAACTGAAATAGTTTAGCTGTTATTTATTTTATTTTAGATTTATTAATAGGAATCAAGTGTGACTTGACTGTTTTGCTTTGCTGCCAAATTTCAGGATTGTTGCTGCCTGTACGGCTTGGAAGTCCTGCCCAGAGACAAACGCTGAGACGTTCTTCCACAACCTGTGTACCTCTTTCCATGACATAATGCAGGTCACCACCCTGTCCCAGCTGTAGAGTAAAGCTTTCTGGGAAATTGAGTTTCCACATTTTAAAGTTTAATCAGAAGTCAGTAATCGTATGTAGATAAGCTAGCACTTACTTGAAGTGTCTTCACCTTTAGTTGTACTAATACTGTCTACATTCAGGTTATCTCCTGTGGAGTAATAAGACTTTTCAGCAAGTTCCTGACGAATTTGTGAATAATTGGCACAAAGAACCTGTTGTAATCTTTTCCTTTGCTGCTTCTAGTCATTAGACTCACCAGGAGCACTGCTGCATCTTCATTTGTAATGAACTGAAGAACTACTAATAGGTAGTACTGTGATAATATAAACAGGTTAGATTAATTTGTCTTCAGATAACTGTGGATCTGCAAAGTGGGCAGTTTTAACACCAAGTTGTCCTTAAATGCTCTCACTGGAGCTAATATTTAGTAGATATTGAAGTAAAGTTGAATGTCCGGATGGATTGCTTTAAAGGAAAAAGAATAATATGGCAGCTTTTTTGAAGTTAATTTTGACAAATAACCTTTTATTTGGATTATGGAAGGCTGTTTTTTTTGTCTGTTTTAGTTTTCCTTGAGCTAGCTGGAATTTCCAGGCCCTGTAGTGTTAGTGGAACGAGATTTAAGTATGTCGTTTTATAATAATAGACGTGATGAATGAACAGGAACCGTTTAGTGTCTGCTTTTGATGCACCCATTCCTCTCAGTTCTCTGATGAAACCTGTTACTCTTTGTTTAAACAAGTGAGTTTGTTGCGAACTGGGTTTAAAGCTGCCCAGTGTGTGCTCCAGTGTATCGATTGCCTTACTTAGTGTTTTAGATCATTTATCTAACCCAGGGTAGCTCTAACAGTGACTACTAGGTGTTGGTTTGTTGTCGGTAGTGGGTTTAAAAACCAAATGCACAGTAAATGTTTCAAATTCTTTGAGTGTATTCATAGAAAGCAGCATAAACTCTTAATCATGCACAAATCAATGCAAACCAGCAGGAATAATACAGCCTGATTATTTCAGTTGTAAAATGTTTCCTTGTTTCTTCTGCTGTTTTAATTTTACAATGTCTCAACGTGGCTCTAATTTACATGTAAAATTTGCAGTAACTGCGATTTTTGTTCTTGAAATCAACCACCTTTTTCTCCAAATTTGAAGAAATTTTAAAGACATATAACAGTGATTATTGTTCAACAAAAGTGTGATTCAAGTTAAATTTCCTGGTTATCAGAAAAGAATAAGGATCTGCCCAAAACATCTGTAGCTGTTTTTAAATTTCAGTGGATTTACCATAATTGCCTTCTAGCTTCTGATATTAATCTGCTTCAGTGATGATTTTTCCATATGCAGTCATTCTTTTGATTCTCACAGCAATATGCCAGCATCTTTCTTACATGTTATTTTGTATTGACTCTTGTTTAAAAAACTGATGACTGAATGGTTCACTGAAAGACTGGAAAAGCGAAGGTTCCAGATGTTTTTGGGCGACAAAGCACTTACGTTAAAGGAATGAATTGGTCAACAGAGCTCAGTCATTGTAGCATGCTTTGAGAATTCTGAGGTGTGTAATCACAACACTGTAATAAATTAGAAACTTTAATGCCTTCCAGTATGAATTTACTTCCAAATACACTGCAAGTTTGCATGTAATGTCTGTAGATTTGTAGTTAACCTACATACTGTTTACAATGCAATAAAATGAAGTGGTAAAAATATTTGTATTCTTTCATCTGACTTGAGTCCGATATTGCAGTCTGTCACATTAATAAAATGCATACTCAGTTTGGCAAATGAAAGTGAAAAGGAGCTTTATTTCACAAACATAGATAGCCAGTGCAAAAAATCTGCGCTCCTGCAGAACAGTGCAACACAGACGGTAAAGCAATTCAATGCCCTGTGTTAGTTTTATAAATAATTGCCAAAGCATTACTTAGAGATATTTCTGATTTACAAAAAAATTAAGTAAAGTATTTTCTGCCTTTTTTCCCCCCTTTTCTTAAAGTGCAATGACAGTGTCGGTCTCATTACTGTAAAAGGTTTCTATGAGGCAAATGATTTATCTATTTCTACACCCAAAAATCACATGATATAAAAGATGATGCTGCTGATTATGGTCATAATCTTCTCTTTGGCTTGCTGTTGTATGTATATGACAGCACGCAAAGACTCCATAACTCCTCATAACGTAGGCATGGATGTGCTCTTTAAACTATAGCTGTAAGAAGTGCTGCTATGTGTGTGTACGACTGACTATTAGGAGATTATACTAACTTAGTGGAATGGTTTGCTATGCTTACAGTACAGAACCAGAGATAATGAGGCATCATTCACGCCGAGTCTCAGAAGTAATGCATCTTTGGTCTTCGTTCTGTCACAAGCGACCTCTTCTAGTGTTTATATAGCCACCAGTATTCAAAATGTGCGTTTTTTTTTTTTTTCAACACCCTTATCCAGCCCAGCCGTATGATGTCAATACTATAGTGTTGAATAAATAACAGAACGACGTGGTTAAAGCAAGTCAACCACAAAGGATTTTCTGTCTTACATGACAGGTATAAATGCAAAGGCCTTCCTAAATGGAATGACTTCCTCACTCTTTACAGTAGAAATTCAAAACTGCTTCTTCCAAAAATGAGCCCTAGCTCTCCCTCATCCTCTACCTGTGTGCGAGTTCTGGTGCGGCTCCCGGCCGCCCTATCTCCCATGACCCATCTGTGAATTGACGAGGGAGTAGTATGCCCCCTGCTGGTTGAGGAGCTGATGGTGCGTGCCCTGCTCCACCACCACGCCGTTCTGAAACACAGCGATGGTGTCAGCGTTCTGGATGGTAGACAGCCGGTGAGCCACAATGATACAGGTACGGCCTTCACGAGCCTTATCCAGCGCCTCCTGCACTATCTACTCACAGACAGACAGAAAAAGAGAGGGATGACTGAGAAATTTATAAAATGCTCATGACACTCATGCTGTATTCTGTAACTTTATCCTTGTGTTTTCACCCTCTTCATGTCGAAAACCTTCTTTCTGTTGTTGATCTGAGCGGTTTTGCTCTATTGAAACTATGGAATTATTGTTTAGATACTTAATCATGTGACTTTTGCTGTGTCATGTGTAATTATAGTCTTTAGATAAAACAATTCTTTGTTCTCCCCCCCCCCTCCATCCCCAAGAGATAACAGAACGTAATATACATCCGTAGTATGGCTTTGCCTTATCTTTTATTATAAATAAAATAATAAACTGATGATGATTATGAAGCTGGAAGCACATGATAGAGCTTTCCCAGCCTTTTACCTTTTCACTCTCTGTGTCCAGGGCTGACGTGGCCTCGTCCAGCAGGAGTACTTTAGGGTTGCGGAGGATGGCTCTCGCTATGGCAATACGCTGCTTCTGTCCACCTGACAGCTGAGTGCCTTTATCACCTGCCTGGGTCTGGTATTTCTGCAAACCACCATATAGCACATTCTGACTCAGTGACAGAGGACATTCATTGGTTAGGCTTGTATCTCATATTGTTTGCATATTTTGCATTTGTTTAAATTATGTCAGAACAATGTAAACTCCGCTAGTGATGTAGTTGAGGTATTCATTTGAGATGATGCTACAATTTTTTTCTTTTACAGTACTGATTTTTGGAGTTGCCACAAATTTTTTTTCTATAGAGAACATTTTTAATTGAAGCTCTTTTCTTAAAGATGGCCATATAAAAGTACCAAGCTTTTTAATCACTCTCACAAGAAAGTGCAAATGTGTGGAAAATGAAAAAAAAAATTCTAATTCTAATTTAACTCTTACAAAATGCCAAATATAACAAAAACAGCTTTTGATTTGTTACAAAATCGGACTGGATTTGCTCTTTTTTCCTCCCATAACTGATCCAGAATTTTCTTTTTGGTATTGGCTCTGATACTAATACTGGGTATCAGTATGGGGATCTCTGTTATTTATTCAGTGTTCTAATGTGGGACATGGCTATAATGCCTGTTTTACCATAAGAGACTTCAGAATATCATAAAAAAGTATATGTCAACTGGATTGGTTCGTATGAGTATGACACAGAATGAAGCAAAAAAGTAGGCATGAAAAGTTATACCTGAGGCAGCCCCTCGATAAAGGAGTGTATGTTAGCCGCCTTGGCGGCCTGTTCGATCTCCTCCTGCGTGACCTGCCTGCTGTTGTCTCCATACGCAATGTTCTCTGCCAGGCTGCAGTCGAACAGCACGGGCTCCTGGGATACAATGCCAATTTGGGATCGCAGCCAATGGATGTTCAGCTGCTTTGCATCGTTGTTGTCCAGCATCTACCAATCAAAACAAAGACAGCGCTTTAATCAGTCAAATTTAAAGTTTACATCTTTAATTTTCTACATAAATGCAAATATTTAATGTATCAACATTAGAAATGCTACATGAGATCTGCCTGAAGATCAGTTGGAGGCAACATATGCTGCTCAACAAAATGAAAGCTAATTACTTCTCAAGTTCTGTGGTTTTTCAGGAAGAAATTATTGCTGCACTACACTTGTTGGCCACCATGATGTGCTATATTAGTTTAAATAGTGCTGCGGCATAAGCCAGCTTTACTGTGCTGTCATGTTCTGGGTGTAATCTATGGGTTTATGGCTCAGACAGTCAGGTTTATTGATGAATCAGCAGAAGGCTGGACGAATGCGGTGAACAGTATTTTATACATTTATTGTCTTTCTGTTCAGGGGTTCCTGGAAAAACGACCATGTTCATACATGGTCAAAAATTTGAGAGTTCAAACAGTATCAAGGCAGGGTTTATCTTCCCATCTAATGTGTGTGTGTTAATCTTATCAGCAACCTTGAAAGTGGTAATAAAAGCCCATCTTTGTCACCTCTCTGTTCTACATGAGCTTACTCATTAACTTCTGACTAAGTGAAAGAGACTGTCAATGTCAATGTCCAAGATGACTCATTAGTTTTATATTGCATAACCAAGCGTGCATTTGTGCGTGATGAACAGAGAGTGAGAACAAGACACTGGCAACAAATCAGTGATGAATGGCTAGTAAGCTGACTGAGAATGCTTTAAAGACGATAAATGTCATTTTGGGAAAGAGAACAGAAAGAACTACGGAGGACTAATTAATTTTGAACAGCTTATTAAGTATTATTAAATAATAAGTACACATAATGCTTTGTCTTCTTTTAGTGTAAAAATTATTATGTATTATAACAGGCAATTAATAATCGAATAGCCAGGGTACAAGCCCACCTATTTATCACTAGAAAGCGTGAGGACCCAGGAAAGGAGAGGGCAGGAATATAAAGGTGTCCCAAAAAAAAAAAAAGAATAATTAATTAATTAATCTTAAAAAGAGAAAAAAATAAAAGAAAATTTGAAAAGGAATTTATTTTGTATTTACACAAATTTCCCTCTCATTGTCCATGAGACCCAGTTAAGACTGAGACCAGTAAAAACAAAAAGAGAAATTTCGGTGTAGTTTTATATATAATAGGTAACAATAATACTGACCTAGAAAACAGTCATCATTCTACTCAGCACTGTTAGTTTATTAAACCAAATGAAAGTAAGGTAGAGATTTTTCTCTGTCTCTTACTAATCTTAACGTTAGGCTACACATGTTCATTAATTGGACACTAAATGGGGAGATTACAGCCCTACCGTCTCTGTGGGTTTCCCAGAGTACAACATACAATCTGAGGAGAATCCCCAGCATTTTCTATACGGCTTAAGTTTCCCGATGGTTCAGAAATGTAAAATTAATAAAATATAGAGGTGATATTACTCAATCGGGATTTTGTTTAAACAAGATAAAATATCGTGTTAATTATTTTTAGATATCATTCATGCCTAGACACCTTGTACTCGTGTGTGTGTGTGTGTGTGTGTGTGTGTGAGAATGTGAATATATGAATGTTTTTTCTCTCAAATGTCTTCCAGCTCTTCTTACCACTGAGCCCCGCAGAGGGTCATAGAATCTCTCCAGCAGCTGGATGGTGGTGCTTTTGCCACAGCCACTGCTGCCCACCAGGGCAAGAGTCTGACCCTTCTTCACTCGGATCCGCAGGCCCTGCAGCACGGGTATGTCCGGCCGCGATGGATATTTAAAGTGTACATCCTGGAAGCGCACATTACCTTCAAAGTGATCCTACACACAAAGCACACATGATGGAAAACAGAATTAAAACACAGGTATGTATTTATAATCACAGCGCATAAGCTCGCAGATTACACGTTTATTTATGTGTATGCACAGATATATATGCATCATATATGCATTTTGAGTCATCAAAATTAATTTATTAAAATGATTCAGACAGAATTTCCACTGTGTTACATATTGGAGATCTTTGCCAAGAAAACTGAATCATGCAGTCATACTGAGTGGAAAACATTTGCAAAAAAATTGGATCTGAAACAGCCAAAGCATGGTGCCTTGTCGATGGAGATCATATATCAAAAAGATAAATTAGATACAGTGACATAATACAGAGAGGCCTCTGGCAAATATTGATTTTTTTAAAGACAGCGGAGACTTGAGTGCTGTTAAAAAAAACATCAGTGCTTGAAGGTTTCGTCAGGAGGGTCTCATATTTCATACAATGTTTGTGTCTGTGAGAGTGAAAGAAAACAAAAGCTCTGTACCGGCTTTTCTCCCTCCTCTGAGCCGTTATCGATATCCGGGACTCGATTGATGAGCATTAGGACATGAGAGGCAGATATCTTGGCTTTGGCGTAGTTTGGAGTAAAGGAGTTGGCTTCACCCACTGCCATTGCTCCATACATTACTGCTGAGATTACACTGTAACGAAAAAAACACTCACAATGAACACAGATATAGGGACAAACAGTAGAATAACATATAAACCTCTCAGTACAATATGTATTGTGGTTTTTGTAACATCCATGTTGGATACCAACATCCAAGATCCATTTTCTCAGAAGGCAAATTCATTTAAATACACACAAGTGTAAATCGTTTCAGGGACCAATTTTTCTTCTCTTTTCTCTGTTTTCTTCTAGCGATATCATGCAGCTTATTGCTGAAATGATTTGACAGAAAAAAAAAAACAGGAAAAAACTATGAACACAAATTTCATATGAACGTCATTCCCTTTTTTCAGAATGTTACATTTAGCAGATTTTTTCCTACATTGTCCAAGCCCTGAATGATTACCTGAAACTATTAAGAACTATAACTTTCAGTAATGTAACACATAGTATGTCCATTTACTTACTAAATCAACACCAAACAGCTTTTGTTAGTTTGGCCTGCAAGCCTGTTTGCTGACCAGCCGTTTCTCACTGTAACATCTTGCTAGTTTTACATTTATTGAAAATACTGGTTTTATGACATAATTCATTTTTTGTCTGTGTTATTTGCCAATTGTCAATATTACTGAATGAAGAGCAGTTCTGGAACTAAAAACGGGGGCCTTCGTAGATCTGAGCCAACTGATTTGACTCAAAGGTGCCAAGTGTGAGTGTGCAGACTGCTTTCCTCTACATTTTAATTTCAACAGCTTTGATGCTGCCCTCTTTACAGCATGCCTACAAACTACCAAAACACAATTTACTACAAAACACGCGGTTTAACATGCATTTTGGAAGCCAATCAGAACATAGCACACATCAACGCAGTGGGCTTTTATTTCATGGGGCCATACTGGTTAATAATGCTGGCCAATATGCTACAAGCCTGCAGCTGAGCTTGGTTTCTGTTTTTCAGATGACGCTGTGTAGTGTGCAGTGAAACTGACTTGTTCTTTTGAGTATGAATACCTTTGAGATCTACTTCACTGCCGTAAGACTGCAGCAAAGACAAGAAAGGTGAGTTTCTAACTAGCAGTCCTTTACTAAACCGTAAGACTCGACCACTTTGCAAGTTTGTTATTTGGCATGCAAGTTCAGCTTCTTGTGACATGCTCAATAAGCCGACAGGCAAATTTTTCGTCATGCTCTGTTAAAAATAGTAGCTTTTATTTTATTTATTTTTTGGGGGAAAAAAATCTGCCCATTCACGCATAATGAAGCAATAAGCGACTCAGAATTTGGTCTTGCACTGGCTCTTAAATCAAAATTCTGTTTGCATTAAAAAAAAAATGCTTGCACTGTACAAGCCTGATTTTTACTGCAACACAATTTTTTATCACAACCCCTTTATTAAAAAATATCACTATGTATAACAACCCTAACAAAAATCAGTACATCGTCTCTGCTTAAAACACATTTTCATGCCAGACTGAAAAATAGGGCAAATAGTTTTTCCTACTTATCACTTTGCTTGTCATTTCTATCTAGACCACTCAATGTTGACTTCCCCAGTTCCTAGGCTGTGTGCTTTGGCCATTATATACTTGTCATGTACTACTGGACTCTTACAAATGTGTTTTTAGTTGTTGGTTTGAAGAATTGAAGAATAAATGTTATTTGACCACAGGAGAGTGAGATTTTTTTTCCTACAGGGCAACACTCTGGATGTTAGTTTATACTCTTTCGTACTCCTTTTGTCTTTTATGACAAAGCCTGTGGCCAATCATGTAACTAGCACAGAGCCATTAATATGGCACAAATGATTTCGCCACCTCTTTAACACATTCAGTTACTCTATGGCAGTTTATTTTAACCAAAAACATATCTAGTAATTTTTCACGGTCATCCTCTTTGGACAGTTTAAGCTGTGGCATGCTTTTCTCTTTCTCTAATCATTAACGTGATACTATGGAAACCAGCAGCCTTTGACCCCATGCTCTATTACTGTCTTACGCACTCCATGCCAGAAGCAGTCTCTAACATTGTGTTTACAGTGCCCGTGTATACAGCAAGCTTGACTAACTTCACCTACACTGTTAGAAATAAAAGGTACATTTTTCATTCAACAAGGTACAAACAATGTAAATGTTTCCCCCTATAAAAGGTACAACAGTGGTTTTAAGGTCCAATTATGAACCTAAAATACGTTTTTCCAGGTGAAAAGTATGTATTTGTACTTTCATAACCTAATGTTTTAAAACAGAACAATAAAATAAAAAGCCTGGAGACGAGACGGGGTGTGGATTCAATACAACTTGGATTATGATACAATTATGTTCCCTGACTAAAGGTACTGAGATGTACCCTTGAGGGTATGACCCCAGTGACAGTGATGCACCTTTATTTCTGAGACTGTTGGTAGTATTTCACCCAGGCTACATACAGATTTCCACCAAAGCTGCAGGGATGCACTGCCATATTTTTCCCAGCTCATACTGATATTTTTACACTGTTTATTTACCAGACACTTTCCTAAAACTGTGTAAAAGCTCATCTTCCACCACATCCACAGTAACAAAACAGTAAGCAGTAACAAATATTGTACAAATATTATATTTGTGCCATGCAACCTCTCCTATTATTGAACTTCAGGTACTTAACGAAGGTCAGGCACACTTAAATCACAACTTCAAGATTTCAAGTCCCACATAAGCTATACTGTAACTTGCGGTCTAGTCTAGACCTAGACTAGAATACTGAAAGGCAAGTTAGGTTGCAGCTCCTTTTAAAACTTTCTAGCACAAGTTATGCTTAACAATCCTGAATACTGAAACTAGTTGACATTTGCATACAAATTCAGGGTGTGTTATCCTCTAAAAGGTTATATGCAAGGCCAAGGTTAAATCTCCTAACTTAAAAAATGGTATTTTTCTGCAGTTTTTAGTGCACAAGTTATATTTATTTGGTGAGTTTAACATGTTGGAAAAAATAAAACATTAATTATAAAATGTGCCATAACTTTCACACAGGCCATATTTTGTGTTTTATTTTTTCCAATTTCAATGCCAATATAACACCATGATAATTATTATATAAATATATTAATGACACTAATGTTAGATGCAGTGCCTCTCTATTATAATAAAACCAGTCACTCACAGGAAAACACCCTCGAAATCCATCATCTTCTGCTCAATGAGCCAGGAGCCAAATTTGAAGCAGCCAGCATAGGCAAAATAGATCATGGCTTGGGAGAAAGAGAACGTCAAGCCAAAAACATGAGCCTTCTTCACGGCGTTCCTGAGAAGAAATACATGCAAACAAACCAATCTTAGAAACTGTAATTCTTTTACAAATGGATATCTATGTCTCGTATCAGTAAGTGCTTAAAAGTAAAGCTTTTTAATATCTTAATTCAAGATGTTATAAGAAGAAGATTCTACTAATATATATATATATATATATATATATATATATAAAAACATACTTGTAAGGCACTATCAGGTTCTGCTGGTAGAGGATCTCAAACTTGCTTTCTCTGGTCAGTGACACAACCGTGCGTATATTTTCTATGGCTTCTGTGGCAATCTGAGGGGAAGACAGAAGATGTTACAACTTTGCTGTTACTTACCAAAATTCAAAGAAACATTTATTTGTGTTCTCTGTGGCTGTGATTGTGTGTCTGCTGTCAGGTCTACTATCCAGAATAGTACAATTTAAAAGTTACAGGGAAAAAAAAATGATTTTATGCAGTGTTGACTGTGAATTCCAACACCAATGGCAATGCTTATGACACAGTGCATTCTTTTCAAGGGGAATTTATTAAATTTCTGTATATTACAAACTTTCAAAGAAACGTACTGAGACAGAATTCTTCACAGTGGTGTTGATAGGAACCAGACGTTTTGTTTGTTTTGAGAATGTTTTGGCCTAAAAAGTAATTCTATTCTATCTATTCAGAAAGGGTACATGCAGGGTGTTGTAAGGCAAAACAGTACCAAGAAAAAAAAAACTTTTTTTTCTGATTTAACACTACATTTCCATGATTACATATAAATACTCAGAAGACACATGTAGGTTCACTGGTAGGTTTTGTATAGTAAAAAAAAAAATAATGGCTATATTTGTGTTGTAGACATTGTGATCCCTGATTCCTATCACCACCACTGTAAAGAAATCTGAATCAGCAAGTTTCTCTATAATGAACCATTTTACATCAGACCACTTTGAATGAACTCGTTCACATCTCAAAGACTAAATGATTTGGAATTTTGGAAAAATCAGTGGAATTCCCCTTCAAGACAGCATGACAGATGATTGGAGTAAACAAAATAATGGCTAAATTATATATTTTGAATTGAAAGTCAGTGCCTTAATCAAGTAGCCACTCCCATTCCTTTATTTATACAGAGATTTCTTATCCCATCCGAACTAGTCATAAACATTAGATGTCCAGTAGTAAACTGGCCTCACCATATAAAACTAATTCTGTTCAAATAGTGCTTTACAGTCATAAAGAATCCACAGGCAATACTGTACCTTTCCAGCCTGCTCTAACTCCTTCTTGTCTTTTACGGCATGGCCTCCTAACATCTTCATCTGGATAGCACCAGCAACAGCCATGATTGGCACAATGGAAAGTATTAGGAGGGTGAGCTGCCAGCCGTACACAAATGAGATGATAATGGAAGTGCCCAGGTTGGCCACGTTCTGAGCCAGCGTAGCCATTCTTAACCCCGTTGCCTGCCCAAAGAACATTCACAGTATATTAATTCAAATCACAGTGTCTTTCATCCTGCTGGATCCTTTATTTGCAGGGACTTTATTGCAGGGACAGTTTACCATTTTTTTGGCACACAGATGTCCTTAGGGGAACTTAGAAAATGAGTAATAAAGACCATTTATTTTGTTATTTGTGTATTGCGTAACCATTTTCTTTATTTCCAGATTCTTAGAAGAAAGTGAGGTGTTAGCATTTCATTAAGCATTTTGGCTTATTTGGTGAAACATTTCATGCAAGACTTTGACCGTGTCAAAGTTTGGCTAACCGAGGCTAAAGGATAGGAAATGTGTAACCATATTGACTTTATTTCATTAATGCCAGCTTATCTAAGCTGGTTTAAGACGGTATGCAGGTATAAAAGGAAGGAGAGAGCAAAAAAGACTCACGCCTTGCACTTGAGCAGTGTCTGTGGCCAGCCTGGTGGTCAGAGCGCCCACACTATTCTTAGGGTCATCATACCAGCCAAGATCCTGAAACGCACACAAACACAGTCATAACAACTCCACCGGGTTGACTGATTATCAGCCCAGCTAATAGTTGTACCCTTTAAGTATTAATCTACTGATCACCGGAATCAGCATTTACTTGTTTCCTTGCTGTTTACAGGATTTATGTGATGCATGTGCATCTCTAACACCGCCATGTCTGACTTATAACAAACTTCAGTTCCGAGTACTTTTGGCTATTTCAAATGTATTCAAAAGTCATCAATTTGTTTTCCAAATGTTTATTATATGTTTTCAATTTTTGTTATTTTTGGAAGAATTGTGTAAAAAGTCATAATATAAATGGATGTTTTGTGTAGGAATTGTGCTCTTGCACTTTCTGTACTCTAAACTTCAAATTTGTATGGCGAATGAATATCGGCCCATATATCAGTTATTGGTCTACTTGTCTACTAATAACCGGTATCTCTTTCGGCTCTGGAATAAACATAGAGGTCGACTCATACTCTATACATGAACAGAATTCGCTGAAATAATGTGAAGCACTGCGAATGCTTCCATAGAGCTCATATGGAAAAAGAGCAGTGGTGTATTCTCACCTGTCTCATCATGGCTTTAAAGGCTCTGTGCCTCAGCCTCATGGTCAGAATCTCACCAGCTTTACCAAAACAAAAACCCTGAGAGAAAGAAATCAAACATTTTTATACCTGTAATATTTCTGTGCCAGGCCATGTTAAAATACTATATTTCTCTTTTAAAATAGTAAATAAGACCATAAGGTTAACCTTTACTGATACTGACTGTAATGTGATTATGGCAAGACTGTAAAAAATCTATAAAAATTGATACAAATTATCTATGCAGGAGGGCACACCAGTGCAGAGGTTAGTTTACTGCTATGTCACATGCAAACCATTTTCAGCTGAAATTGCTATCTAAAGGACCCACATTATAGAACACACTAACTTTTGAAAAAAAAAAGTTTCAAATCGCATCATATCATATGGTCACTATAAGGATCATTCTACCAAATCAGTTCTGCAGTCTGTGGGACTGTAAGTAAGTAACTAAGTAAGTAAGTAAATAAACCTAAATTTCAACTTGTGAAAATAATACTTTTAACAATAATATATTATTATATTTAAATATTTTTTACCATCATTTTTAAAATGTTTTGGTTATTTTTAATTATTTTAAGGTCAAGTAGAAAGATTTATCATGAAAGAAAAATTTATCATGACTTTAATTTGAAAATAAAAAACGCATTTTCATGTTAATACTGAAAACACAAAGATTATTAGTCCATAGGTGGAGCCTTATTTTAGCCACATTCCTGCGTTTTAGACCAGGAAGTGACACTACATCCCTCTCCCTCATGTCTACATGGTGAGCCAGAGATTACTGGCAAAAAAATCAAAAATTTTAAAAATGCTGGGTTTCATTAAAAGAGACCATCTATCTATAGACTGCTATTTACATGTTCCTGACTAAAATGGATATGGCTTCCAGAAACTGCCCCCATGTTTAGCTAGCAAGGATAGACCATGAGTAAGAAAGGCCGTGTTTAATGTACTCATGTTGGAAATCAGTCAGCCAACAGCTCTGTGTACTAACTACCAAAAGACATTTACGGAAAAGAGTGTCTGCTGCTATACATCATACTGACATGAATGTTTGGAAGTACTTTAGAATTAAATCTTTTCAGTAGTCCTCACAATCTTCCTTCCTAAACTAATGCCCACAAACAGGGGCTCAGCCAATCTGATGAATATGTAGAAGTGGCTAATGAATATGTAGAAGTGCATGTGTAACGCCCTCCAAAACAGTAAGAGCACTGCAAAAGGGCTGTCAAGACCTGAAAAAAGTTTACATAGAAATTCAAAGATTTGAGTTAAACAAAAAAAGGACCTTTACAAGTGCTTCCACTGGCACTGAATGAACGGATGTAATAAAACGTAGGTATAATTTGTGACTTTCTAGAACATGAACTTCAAGGCCTATCGCACCTGTAAGAAAAGTGCAACGAAGGAAACGGCCCCAATAACGGCAAACAGCAAGGAGAAGATATTCGACTTCTCTCTTACAACATTCTCATCGACCTCAGCAAACACCTAAAGAGGAAAGAAGAATAAAAGAGAAAAACCATTAGCGTTCTAGTTCATCAAAGTGATGTCTGTTTTTTTTTTTATTTGCCTTTGTATGCGACTTACAGCAACCATTTTGGAGAAGATGACCGCAAACGCAGGCTGCATGCCACCATTGATGATGGCAGATAAGACACCCACTACAATGTAGGGCCATTCAGTCTTATTCAGACTCAGCACTTTGAAGAATGACACCTCTGGAACTTTTTCTTCCTACAAAAAGAGACAAGGAAAGAGCAAGACAACTCTTACATAACATCTACCACTCAATCAAAACAGGACAGACAATAAGCAGATACTCTGAAATGCGCACAAGCATGTGCTTTACCTGCGCTGGGTCTTTATCTCCATCCTCCTGCTTTTTCTCCGAGCCAGTAAAGCTCATGGATTTTTGTCTGAAGAGAGTGTGCTCAGTCATAGAGTTGACAGAAGGACTCTTCTCATCCAGCCCTACCTCTTCTGCCTTGTCCTCCATGGCCTCAGTGCTATTAAAGGTCTGAAGGGTCAAAGCAGTGTTTATGTCAGTGATGTTTACACACGCTACTGTATGTACTATTCAAACCTCAATTCCAAAAGAGCACGAGACAGTAAGTGAAACGCAAACAGAAAACAAAATATTCACAAAAGATAAGACTTTTAATGTTTTGCCTTAACCAAACTGTTTTGGAAATACACCCTCATTCTGAAATTGACACCTGTAGCATGTTTCAAAAGAGTTGGGAGAAAGGCAATTTAAGACGGGGGATGTTGTGAAATGTTCAAAAAACATCATAAACAGGTGCAATCATGCTTTGGTATAAAAGGAGCAGGCTCGCCATTTTGCCAGCTCACCGATCCATCAGTTTAAGAAAAACATTCCTCAAAGGTTTTAGATATTTCACACTCTAGCATGATACGCATAATATCATCAAAAGATTCAGGACATGTTTCTGTTTGTTGGAAGCCTGTGCTAGCCTTCGCCCTACGTTCTAACTAGTGGGTGGAATTGGAGAATACTTTGAGAAACTTTCCAATTAACTGTTTGCTGCTGCATCCACAAATGACTACTAAGTCAATGATGCCCAGAAACACCACTGATTTCTCTGGCCTCAAGCCGAGTCAGTTAGAGATTGTTTATGGCAATAATAGACGAAAAGGACCATATCGACTGTTACCAGCATAAAATTAAAAAAAGTGTCCATGGTATTTCAACATTCAAGCCACATTCTGCATGTGTTACAACAGCATGGCTGCATAATCAGAGAGTGCGGGTGCTAGACTGGCCTAAATGCAGTCTTGACTTGTCTTTCACTGAAAATATATGTGATGCTTTGTGAAATATGACAAAATATGACAACAAAGGCCTTGTACTGTTACAGAGCTGCAGATTTTGATAACAGAAAAACGGCAAACATTTTTCTTTCAAAACTAGATCAATTGGTGTCGTATCCACAAACAATTATTATGTGTTGTTCATAGGAAATGTAATGTAAGACATAAGTTATAAGCATGCACCTGTAAGTTATAAACATGCACCTGTCTCAACTATTTTGGAACATGTTTCAAGCATCAAATTTGAAATGAGCATATAGTTGCAAAAATATCAAATATCAGATAAATTAGGATTGTATATCTACCGCAGATATTGTGTGTTCTGCTTTTTTGCCTGCTTAAATTCTCTCTGTTGTTTCAGGGTTTGCCTCACCTGCATAGTTACAAGAGAGTGATAAACTCCCTTCATCCCCATCAGATGGTCATGTGTACCCAGCTCAACAATTTTGCCATTCTGGAATCCAGCGATAACATCTGCATTGCGTATAGTGGATAAACGGTGGGCCACTATAATGGTCGTCCTGCCAAGTCTCACCTACACCGAAATGGCACAGAAAGTCAAGATCAAGATTAAAAAAATAAATGGTCATGTAATGAATTACTACTGTTTTTGATACATAAAGCCACACAAACGTGATAAATGGTAATAAACCTCAGAGGAAAAAATAAATGTGACAAATATGTAGGATATGAGCCCTTCAAGTAGCCTTTAATTTAAAAAAAAAGTAATAGTAATTTAGTCTTATTACCTTATCCAGGGCTGCCTGTACGATGGCCTCACTCTCTGTGTCCAGAGCAGACGTAGCCTCGTCCAACAGAAGGATCTTGGGATTGCGAACAAGTGCTCGTGCGATGGCGATTCGCTGTTTCTGCCCACCACTCATCTGGGTGCCCCTGTCTCCCACAAGGGTCTCGAATTTCTGAAAATGACGCTCGATTAGAGTACACAAACAATAGACAGCAAAAAAGGAGGCTGGTGCCATGCAGATCTTGCACAACAACAAATGGCAAACTGTATTTACATTGGCACAGTTGAAGAACAGTGTTCGGTACATGGAAACTGATTTATCATGAACCTCTAACATTGTTTTGTCCTCCTTCAAATACAGAACCTGCATTTGCAAAAGAACGTGGTAAAATGGGCCAATTCAAAAATTCATACTCTTACATAAAAGTCTTGACTCATTAACATCTACGCCCCCAAAATTTACACACACCAGCCCATGGTCTAGCCCAGCTGCAAACAACCACGGTGCAACAGCAATGAAAATGGCAGAGTATTTGCAGAAATTGTACCATTCCATGCTGTGAAGGGATGTCAGCATTTTTCACACCTTCTCAGGAACCGAGCTGCCAAAGCCATAAAGATAATCCAATACGCCTACCCTTCAAACTTATCGTTTCTTCCTCTGTTGGTCTCTAAACAACATGTGCGGCATGCTGCTTTGAAATGATTGCCAAATTAGTCCAAAAGATCGCAACAGTGATATAAAACCAAAGCGAATAGCCTATTGTTTGCAGTGCTTTTTCAAAGTAGTGCAGTCACTTGTATTATATGCAGAACCGTTCCTGACCTTCCTAAGCACAATTCTACAAAGGGGCCATCCTACCTGACCCATGAGCCATGTAAACCATTTGTAACTGCCACAAAGTCACACCTGAGAGTCACACCCCAGTGCTCCCTATTACAGTCCTCCCTGCTTTAAAAACGTTTGCTCGATCTGTCAAAATAAGTAGACCTACACGAAACAGAAATTATTAACCAACAATATTTATCAATCAATATTTACTCCTCTACTGACAAACCTAAGCATGTCACCTAATAATTATAGATCAGACTATTATACATTTTATCAGCTGCATCAGGCCCATTCACACTGGCTCTCCCAGATTTCTCTTTGCAATTTATATTTGAAAATGTATACTTTACACTATGGCCTGGCTGAACACTTGATGGATATTATTTACTGAGTGATGTGCACCCATATTGCCCAGCATACCCAGCTAATTAACAGTTGAAATTCAATATATAAATCAACAGTCAATGTCAATCCACTGCTTTTCATTTTGCATTGGCCCTATGAAACACACTTAGTGAGTGTATTTTATGTCCCTGGCCCCGTGCTGACATTCCGGCACATTGTCGGAGAACTTCAAGCCATGTTACAGGCTTGAACAGGTGCAAAAACTGTTATGAACTGCGGCACTATTTAAGGTGGAATGCAAAATTTGCAAAACAAGCTGGCGAACAGGAAGTCAACTTCAGCTCCCACATATTAAACAGGATTCCGGACTTTAATTCAGAGCTGTTAACTTGCTCTGCACATTTCACTCCGGACAGTTTTTTAAACCTTGGACAATATCAAGCAGGTGTCACTCAGCGTTACACACTGTAGAGATGGGAGGGGACGGTTCCAGCTTTATTAGCATCAAAACCACAACAGCAACCTGTGATTTTTTTGTGATTTTATCTTAAACTGAAAGTTTTATAGTGAGCTAACAACTTTATGTCATTGTCGAGATCGAAAGCAAGTAGCCAGTGTAGGTAACATTAGCTACTAGCATGCTCTTCATAATTAGCATAGCTAACTACACAGTATGGCAACATATACATATTTACATATAGGTTCTTGTCTGTGTCTATTTCAACATGTTGTTTCTGTGTGAGCCATTGCAATGCCTCATTGTTAACCAGCAAATTGGAGCAGAGCTCAACATATTATTCATAAGCCCACCAAAAAGGGGGAACAGCTTGTTTCATTCTAGGCTTGTAAATGGACATCTAAAACTGTAAGTCAAATACCTTCCATGTAGACATCAGACAACAATTTTAAAATACTGAATAGATGCATTTCACAGCACCTTCAGCATTCAGCATTTTGGGTCAAACAATTCCTTAAAAGAACAGATATGGCTCTTTTTTTGTTCTGATCTCATGCTTCGTGCGTTTGTCTTACGTCAGGGAGCTTCATGATGAAGTCGTAGGCGTTAGCTTCACGTGTGGCCTGCTCAATCTCCTCCTGTGTGACGTCCTCACGGCCGTAGCGAATGTTCTCAGCGATGGTGGTGGCGAAAAGCACTGGCTCCTGACTCACCACACCAATCAGCTCCCTCAGACGACGCACGTTCAGACTGCGAATGTCATGACCATCTATACTCACCTAAAGTAAAAGATAAGGATTAGGAGAGGAAGAGTAACACTAAAAGAGGCTTTACCACTGCATTCCACTCTCCATCTCTACACTTACTACTCCTTCTTGGGGATCATAGAAGCGCTGGAGTAGCTGAACTGTTGTGCTTTTGCCACACCCGCTGCTACCCACAAGAGCAATAGTCTGTCCACTGCTGATCTTAAGATTCATGCCATCAAGGACCTAAACACACAAGTAAAGGAAACGGTAAAATAATCAGAACTCTGGATGTTTTTTCTTTAAGTCCAGACTTTGTTGGCAGTTGGGTAACGTACCTTCACATCCTGCCGTGAAGGGTAGCTGAAGTGAATGTTTTTGAACTCAATGTCTCCTTTGACCACGTCAGGTTTGTGGCCTGCATCTGAGAAACTGTCAATGCTTGGATGCTGTGGACAAAACACAGGAGGGTTTGATACTCAGAAACTCTGAAAATGAAAACAATAACGAAACTACGATTTTACTCCACAACAAATATTTAACAAAACGCTTAAGGTCCAAACATAAAAACACATTTAATGGAAGCCTGTTTGGACCGAGGGTTGTTCACAACTCAGCAGGAGAGCTGTTCTGATCTGAAGTTCTGGCTACGGTCATGTTGTGGCAGAAACAATGGCAGGAAGCTCTGCTCCCTGTTTTGATTTATTTGGACTGGACTGGATGTGTACCTCCAAGTCCCTGTCCACTCCCTGTGAGTAGAATGTTTGTTATAACTGGAAAACTGGAATCTAAATAAAGACAAGTTCATGAAGTGCGTGTGCGCGTGAGTGTGTGCACACTAATTCCACACCCTAACCTGTTCTTTTCAAGTTTTTCCTTTGGGAAGTAGCAGGAGGCTGGGAGGAAGTTACAGGAAGTCTAGCAATTCTCTGCAGAGTATTACTGTAAAAAGTGGCCTGCCTAACCAATACTGTGAAAGTGTTTTAAATACCTTAAACCTGGAAAACCAATTATTAAGTCTCACTTCTTGTTTCAGTTGTTCAAGCCTTCTCATGCACATGACTTTATCATTTTTTTTTTTTATCAACAAAAGACAATAAAAAAGAAGGGAAAACTACTGAGACTACAGAAAAAGCTCAAAAAGAAATACAGCTATTATAAAAAATACCTGAGTAGTATTTGGAACTATGGATAAACAGTTCAGACACAGTATACACAGTAGCCTTGTACTGTTACATATTTAAGATCTCAGAGCAGAAAATATAAAAATTTAAGACACAAGATCTTAAATACATTCAAATAAATGTAGGACTTTTAATGCACCAGTAGATACCTTGTTTATAACAAAAGGAGTAAAAGGTAAAATTAAAACCTGAAGGTATGAAGACAGTGCTTACAGACAGTTCATCTAAGATTAAGCCAATTTCAGTGCTGTGTGCTTTGACACTTGACTACTGTAATGTCTTATGAACTGCGGTCACTATGTCATCTATAATTCCAATATGCTGAAACTTGCACTTAGGTAATCTTGTCTGTAAGGAGGAACAGTAGACTGGCTTACAGCATGTTTCAATGAAAAAAAGCAGAAGGTCACTGAGGTCACTCACATGATCAATGATGCTGAAAACCTTGTGGGCAGCACCTCGTGCGCTAGAGAACGCTTGGATGTTTGGAGAGGTCTGGCCAAGGCCGAACGCCCCAATTACGACAGCGAAGAAAACCTAAATAAGAGGAAAAGAAATTGTTGTGGGTTTTTCCCACTGCAATAGCAGCCACACACTGACTCAACAACTTAGTGGTTATTACATATACATTTACTGCTTGATTCATCTTTATCTGTGCGTTTTCCCCAAGTCATTTTGGGCTGTTCCCTTTGGCCAGTTCATCGTGAAATTTACACATAATGTAAAGCACAACAGGTATTTTCAAATTATGTCAAAAACTTGTTTAATCTATTCCTGAATTAGACTGAACTATTTAATCTATTAACTTTATTTTTGTTGAAACCAACACTAATGAAGTATCTTAAATTCAATGTTATTATTTTCAACTCTCAATATAAACCAACACTCTAATCTCTTCTCTTTAGACTAGATATTGAGCCATGTACTTACTGTCAGCAACGTTCCAGCTGTGTATTCTTTATCCAGAATCAGCGTGCTGCCGTACCAGAAGGCCAGAGCATAGGAAATGTAGATCATGAAGTACGTGAAACCCACAGCAATGTTCACTGTGATTGCTTTCTTTATACCCACGTTCTTAGCATCTTCAAGGTTTTTATGATACCTGCCAGGAGAAGAGCAGACATGGTGAGGTTACTTTAAAGGCAGCACTGATTGTGAATAACTCTACTATTTACTGTAGATCAGCAGATAATTTATTTAAAAGCTTCGGGAGACTCTTTAGATGAGACTGATATTTCAAACCGATATTTGATGATGTCGTTAGTGTACTTGAGAAGAGCAGAACATATAGACAACACCAGGCTACTTTGCAGTGTCTCCATTTTTAATTTAACTGTATTTAATCCTACTGAAATTAATGTTTCTCTTATGCTAATCCAGGTAAAGCTAGTCCCAATTTCCACATTATATAAACAATTATGATTTGGCATCGGCCCACTGTGACCGTATCATTGCATCCCTATCGATCACCGTTGGAGGTGACAGAAATAATGGGTGATTAAAAAATCTTCTCCAGTCGCATTATTATCTGAACACGATGCCTCAGCTGAATAACTGATTATGCAGATTATTCAGAAATAGTACTTGGGGGTCGATTGGCCTTGCTCTCTGGGTGGCTAAGATGGCCCCCCCCTTCTCTCTCTATCACTCAACACGGTGCTAGCGAGCGCAGGCGTCTGTTAGCTGACGTAACAGATTTGGCAGTTAGTGCTTTCCTCCGAATATGCTTGGCTGTCCAACAACGCAGTTCAAAAAGATACGGTGCCACTTTACAGGTCTTTTAGGAAGCCTGTGCTAGCCTTCGCTCTCCTAGCGCTGATAGCATCGTGTGATTGGGGGAGTCCTAATTAGTGGGTGGAATTGGAGACGACTAAATTGGGGAGAAAATTGGGGAAAAATCCAAAAAAAAAATTAAAAAAAATTCATGTCTATTCCTGAGGCTGAGGATCATCTGTTTTCACCTGTGTATGTGCTCGCGTTTGAGTGAGAGAGAATACTTATAGAAAAAAAAGTACATTTACACAAAAAATAATTTGTAAGTATCCATTTTCCCTTTTTTGTCACATACAGCCCTCTTTATTTGTGATATTTTTTAAACATGGGCTGCTTTTTTGCCAAGATGCAATGCTTACATTCTTTTACTGTGTTGTGAGATCTTTTGCACACACACACCTTTGTATCTCTTTCTTTTGTCCTCCGAAAGCAAAAACAGTCCTAATGGCAGACAGCACCTCCTCAGCCACAGCTCCGGCCTTTGCATATGCAGTTTGCTCCTTGGAGGTGAACGTCGTCATCACCTAAAGACGAAACAAATGTTTACTGACAAGCCTCTCCACTTCTCTTTCCATGTCAGTTCTATTTATGCAGCTGCGCTTAGTTAACAGAGAAATATTTTTGTGATGGGAAAACTCTGGAAGATGTATAGGGAGGTACTTCTTGTAATTTATATTCTGAGATCCTGTTTTGTTCTGTTCTCTCTCTCCCTGACTGTCCCTACTGAACTTCTACCTTGCCTCTCTTCTGTCCTTCTACCTTGACATTTCCACTGATTCCTCACCTTGGCGATGACTGCAGCTGAGATGCCAAGCAGGGGGCTTATGGAGAGGATGACAAGAGTGAGTTTCCAGCCTTTGGCAAAGCCCACAATGAAGCCAGTGAAAAAGGTGGTGAGGGACTGAATACACATGCCCATCTTGTCTCCGATGCCTTCATTTATTTTATAGATATCGCTAAAGACAAAACACAGTACAGGGCAAGCAGGAGTCAGAGCGCGCAATTTATGAAGTGTCTGCAGCATTTAAGTTCGAATGAACATAACGTAAATTCCCAGTGGTTTCTCTTACAGTAAAACAGAGCTTGGTAACACATCTATTTATGTCGCTGTTGTCAGAACAAAACCTTGCATCTCCGTTTTTTGTTGTTTTTCAGTTTTTGGCATCATTTGAAAATGCCTGTTGTCCTTTATATTGCGTTTAAATTACATGACGAATGGATCAAAGGAAACAGCCGAAATTTACTTGGAAAAAAATTCTGGTTACATTTACTTACATAAAGAGTAAAGTACGTTTTTTTCTTCTCCGGTAAAGTTATCATTTTGGAGATACGAGGTTTTGTTCCAACAGCAGCGATATGCTTTTTTGCCACACAGTACACACAGCATGTGCTACCAAGCTCTGTTACTGCTAGACAAACCAGTGGGACATGCTACGTGGGATATGTTACATATATGTTACTGGAAGACAAACCAGTGGAAACATTTATAATAGGTTCATTCAAACTAGAAACTAATCATTGCTGATTCATCAAGTGAAGTTTAATTGAAGATTTTCATCAAGTTATCAGTTTTAACCAAGCAATCGTGACAGCCTCTAATTTAAAGTATTCAGTTCAACCGTTGTTGTAATTTTATAATAACCCAACACTCAAAGGTCTGCTTGTCTTGGTCCCTAGTAGGCCTCTTACTCTGTGAGACGTGTGTTGAGCTGTCCTGTCTCGTTCACATCAAACCAGCCAATGTCTTGCTTGATAATGGCATGAAAGAACATCTTTCTGAGCCTCTTCACCTGTCGTCCTGCAGCCAGTGTCCAGAAAGCCACCTGCATGTAAGCTGCGAAAAGGACTATACCTCCCATGATGCTGTAGTAAATGGCATGCCTAAATGAACAGCAGAATGGGGAGGGTGAGTAAACTTTAGAAAAGACCACAGAGAAGTCCAAAGTTCACAGTTATGTGAAATGGAGATAGGAATAAAACAACGATAAAACCAATAGTTACTTAACTTCATAGGACTAAAAAATAAGTTAAGGGGCAGAACCAGATATGGAGGAGAAGCAACAATGCCACTTTAAAAGCTAATTTAATAATGCACAAACAGAAGCCTGTTACCTGGTCATCTGCTCTCCAAGAGTTTCATTGGAAGTAGGCCAGGTAAAATCTAGTATACAGAAGGTGTTTATAAGCATTTATTGTGGACTGTGAACAGTTTAAACATCTGCTAAAATAATTCTCTTCAGTTTAATCAATATTTCTACATTAGTCTTGTGTATCTGGATTTGTCCTAACAAGACAACAGAAAAGTAATGCATCACTCACTGAAGGGAGGAGTAATGTTTCCAATGTTGCTTGATACTTCATTCTGCACAAAGCTGTCCGTCATGTCTCCAAATACAATCACCATAGCAGGAAGTACTGCTCCATTGGCCATAGACATTATAGTCCCAACCAGCATAAGGAAAATGTCTACGCTGTCTGCATAACGGAACTGATATAAAGAGAAAACTCAGAATACATACACAGTCGTATAAAAACATGACACATATGATTTTAGAACACTTAAAAATAAAAACAAGCAATGTAAAATTTAAAATCTGACTTTTAAGAGATTCAAATATGTTTCTGTAATGGATAAACGGCTTAAAATGGTTTATAAATATGGTTCTAGCCTGAACACAGCACTCTTAAGATCTCCCCACATGTAGGTAAAACTATTCTAGACAAAGTCTGGAAAATGTGAAGTTATTCTACAGGGAGATTCACTCGAAAGAGGCCCCAAATGTTCTGTAATAACTCTCTAGACTGAAGCAATCTGAATGACACAATGTGCAATGTGCTCCTAAGTATATGGAGCTTCGAACAAGCCGGGATGCGCCTGAGTCGGAGTGATGAGGTAGACGCCGGACAGCCGTCGCAACATTTAACCTCCGTGTGCAACCTCCGGGTGCGTACCCCCGTACCCCATCATGTGTCTGGCAGAAAACGGACATCACTTCCAGCATCGCATGTAATGCAATTGATAACACATACGTCAAGGTATGTAGCAGATTTTTTTGGTTCAGACTGCTTCATCCTAACGGGAGTTACAACAGAACATTCGGGGCCTCTTTCGAGTGAATCTCCCTGTAAAGTTTCAAAGTGTTAGAATTAATAGCATTTGTAATCATATAATTAATGTAAAATACTAGATTGACCAGAAACATTGATTAATTAATATTAAATCAGATCTAGTTACATTTAACTGAAGACTGACATTAACTATAGATCACTCATCTAACCCAAAAGACTAACAATATTAGGCTACCACATGCTGCTGATGTCTTACTAGGATTATGACAACACACTACCAAAAAAAATGTAAGCATATTTTTATTAAGAGTAAAATATTACCCCATATAATGAGGAAAACCAAGGAAAAAAAGGTTGCACTTACTACTTCTATTGGTCCAACCATTGGCAACTTAGCATCTTTCTCTTTTTTATCTCCTTTCTCTTTTTTATCTCCTTTTTTCCCGCTGCTGTGAGACAATATCTTAGTTAAACACTCCAACAGTTCCATCCAAAGGCTAATTCCACATTACGTAACGTTACTTCAGCAACTGTAGGCTAAAGTAATGTTTGCAGGCGAAGTTATTCACAAAAACTAATGCAAAAGGACAAGGATAGTTATATCTAGCATGGGTTTAGCATTAACCCCGCTTACTAACTGAGAAAACTTTGCTCACGGTACCAAAGAAAACGATGAGACAACTTACCTGAGGTCCCCATTCTGGTTGCTATTTCTTGTCTCCGCGGTCAAGTCGTACTTTTTGCCCATTTTCACTCGTTTCTGTGGTGGTGTTGTCAGGGTCGATGTAGTTTCTTCTCCCAGAGCAGCTCTGTGGTCGCCTGCTGGACTGATATTTGAGAAGTGGTGTAACTTTAAATAGATGCACTAAATCTAAAACATTTCCATGTCAATTTTTTTCCATTTTGAGAGCTTCGTTTTAGACGTAGGCCATCAGTGTAAGAAGGCCTTCACAATACGAACACAAACGAGGAAAGTAGATGGTAACTTGGCGAATGATTTACAGAAGCCGCTCTTATTTTAGGTCGTTTTTTCTTTTCCTTCGGGTGACGTTACAAAATAAATCTGTAAGACTTGGCTAGCTCGCGTTTTTGATTCAGGTAACAGGACGAACAAGTAACGTTAACGTTAACATTTAATACAGCGACAGAACTGAATGCGTTTCGCTTTGCGTTTTATTCAGTTAGCTTGCTTGCTAGCTAGCTAACGTCAGCTAGCTACCGAAATAAACTGCGAACTTTAGCTTTACAGCTACAGCTACCGACAAAAGTGTAAAGCCAGGTAGCTGTTCGAGCCAGTTAACGTTACAGAACAAATTATAAACATTAACGTTTTATTCTGTTACCGACAAAAGTGTAAATTCTGGCTAGTATTTTATTCAGTTAGTTAGCTAAAGTTTGCCGCCAAACAAACTATTAGCATATCGCTGCTGTCGGAACAAAACCTTGTATCTCCAGAATGGTAACTTTACAGGAGAAGGAAAAACACCTACTTTACTTTTAATGGAAGTCAATGGAACCAGACGTCTTTCTAAGTCATTTTGGGCTGTTTCTTTTGGTCCGTTCATCATGGAATGTACACACAATGTAAACAGCAACAGGCATTTTCAGATCATGTCAAAAACTAAAAACGACAGAAATGGAGATACGAGGTTTTGTTCCGACAGCAGCGATAGGCGTCTTATTCAGTTAGTTAACGTTACCGAAAAGAATCGTGAAGCTTATCCCGGCTGAAAATAAATCCCAAACAAAGCTTCGTGTTTCTGTTGGTTCCTGTTTTTATTATTATTATTATTGTTATTATTATTATTATTATTTGTTTTGGCGTTTTTATAGGGTTGATATCACAATGTAAAGCATCCCAACATTAATGCTTTAACAGGTGACCCGTGGCTGATCGTAAATGCATTTCCTAATGAGATCTAGGTCAGCTAAAGGTATTCTATATGAAACTAGTGGTCTCTGTATACTAACCTATATACATTAGTGGAAGCCATTAAAGCCAATTCTTATTAGAAAGCAAAACCTTCAGGTTTTCTTCATAATTATATCTAATGGTCCTTTTATTTATTTCAGCAGGGATTTTTTTTCAGCAGGTTTTCGGTTACCATTACCGAAGAATTTGTATCCCGCTGAGAAAAAAGACCATTAGAACCATTAGGATTAAAATCTGATGGTTTTGTTTTCTAAAGAGAACTGGCTTAATGGTTACTCTTAGAGACCACTAACTTAGTTTCCTATAGGACACTTTTAGATCACGTTGGGAAACCACCAAATGCATCTGGAATCAGTCCCACAACACACAGCTAGATAAACCGTTAAAATCCTTTTCACAGTGATATCAAACCATCAGGACGACACAGAATGCCAGTAGCGGCTACTGAATACCAGCGGAAATCAACAGAAACTTTAATGGTTTCTATTATTTTTCTCAGCAGGGTTTTCGGTTACCATTACCGAAGAATTTATATCCCGCTGAGAAAAAAGACCATTAGAACCATTCGGATTAAAATCTGATGGTTTTGTTTTGTAAAGGGAACTGGCTTAATGGTTACTCTTAGAGACCACTAAGAGAACAATGGTTTCTATTATTTTTTCCCAGCAGGGTAGCAGAAGCGAAAGGAGTATCTTTCATTTACCGTTAATGAACAAACTAAAAACCTTAGGATTTAATTTTAAGCTAAGCGTTACCGGACCGAGGCGTAACGCTTTAGCCGTTATCCGTTACCTTGTAGGGAGCTCGCGCCTGTTCTGCCTGGCGCCTGTTCCCCGGCGCGCGCTGCTCCGCTCGTCTCTGTGTCTCGTGCGCAGTGGACTGTGAGCGTTAGCCGTTAGCAGAGTTTATAACAGGCGGGTTTATTACCCGCCGTTACATCATCAGCTAACAGCCGCTTCACACACACACACACACACACACACTGTGTCCACCGGTGTCTCTTGTTCTTCTGTCTCTTATTCTTCTCCTTTTTTGGCTGAAAGGAATTGAGGGTGATGATTTGTTTATTTTATATCTGTCTCGCTGTGTGTGTGTGTGTGTGTGTGTTGTTGGGGCGGATGTTAAAGAACGCTCTGACCTTTTTTCTGTTCATTTTTGTGAACGTTTTTTCTTCGTTTATTTCTTCCTAGTTTCAAAGAGAACCGAGTAAGGAGAGCTATAGATCACCCAAGAATTCATGTTTAAAGATACTGTCCTATATCTGTTAACGTCTCAGAGAGCGAAGGCTGATCTGGGATCAATTTATACCTTTCATATAGCATTGAAGCTTTGAACTACATGGACTGATGAGACCTGGGCCCATAGTTATCAATATGAATTAGCTATAGCTGAAAAGCTGTTAGCTATTCTATTCAGGTAACATTACAGAACAAATTATAAACATTAGCATTTTACTCTGTTACAAAAGTGTAAATCCTGGCTAGTATTTTATTCAGTTAGTGAGCTAAAGTTTGCTACCAAACAAACTATTAGCATAACGCTGTTGTCGGAACAAAACCTTTTATCTCCATTTTTGGCGTTTTTCAGTTTTTGACGCAATTTGAAAATGCCTGTGACCCTTTACATTGTGTGTAAATTTCATGACGAATGGACTACAAGAAATGACCCAAAATGACTTGGAAAAAAAAATCTGGTTCCATTGACCTACATTAAAAGTAAAGTATGTTTTTTCCTTCTCCTGTAAAGTTACCATTTTGGAGATACAAGGTTTTGTTCCAACAGCAGCAATAAGCATTTTATTCAGTTAACGTTACCGAAAAAAAGCTTAGCTAAGTGTTTCTGTTGGTTCCTGTTTTTTTAATTATTATTTGTTTTGGCGTTTTTATTGATATCACAATGTAAAGCATCCCAACATTAATGGTTTAACAGGTGACCCGTCATAATGATGTCTGATGGTCCTCTTCAGCAGATTTTATATCAATATAAATATGAGAGTAGAAATGCTGATCTAAGATCAAACGTCATCATTTTCAAAGAGGATTCAGTGATATGTAAGAGGCATAATCTGATTTGAAATCAGCATTCGTTGTCTGAGAAGTTAGCAGATATGACGTGAAGGTGATATTTAATTTCCTCTCAATGTAATACTTTACGCATCATTGATAAAACCAACAGGTCGCTGTTGTCGGAAGAAAACCTCGTATCTCCATTTTTGTCATTTTTCAGTTTTTGACATAATGTGAAAATGCCTGTTGTCCTTTACATTGTCTGTAAATTTCATGATGAATGGACCAAAAGAAACGGCCCAAAATGACTTGGAAAGACGTCTGGTTCCATTGACTTCCATTAAAAGTAAAGTAGGTTTTTTCCTTCTCCTGTGAAGTTACCACTTTGGGGATACAAGGTTTTCTTCCGACAAGAGCGAGACATAGAATTAGGCCTCCTTTTTTTGAATGTGTAAGATACAGGAATACCAAAAAGACCCTTCCTTTCCTGCCAATATGTGTATATATTTTGGATATAAGCTTATACGATTAGGAAAATAACTACACAGCCCTATCCCTATATTAAATAATTGGTGGAGCTAGGCTAAATACACATGGTGGATATGTAATAGGCCTTCTTCAATGGGGTCAGCCACTCTCAGAAACCTTTCCAAAAACCCTGAACATCCATGGCAAGACCTACACTAGTAAATTAGATTGTTTTTCATGAGTCAAGCAGAGGAAAGTGCGCAAAGTGATTCACCCTATTACTCAGCTTATATAAAGTGCAATAAACCCAAAGTACTGCATGTCTGGTAAAGGTAATCACCAGTACCAAGCCGTTAAAGATTGTCCAGTCTTACAAGTTGCTTGCTCAGCTGACAAGCTTTTCTGATATCTCTTTTTTGTGCTATTGCAGGAGTGGCATGGTCGTAAACATAATATCTAAGTATTGAATACATTTATGTATGACAACAAAGAAGAATTTAAACAACAAATGAGGGGACAGTATGTAAACCTGTCTTAATTTCTTCCCCAAAAAAGGTGAACACTTTCTGACCGCTATTTTTTATTGTTCCTTAGGGTCTCAGATCTTTACAGAATCAACTGCAAACAAAATGACCTTATGGGCATTGTGATTAACATCATATCCTTATGCTGTGTAATCATTAACTGTTCATACACACAAAGATGTGACTGACATCTTTACTCGCTGATGTAATCGTGTGTTGGGTTCAGTGGAGCGTCAGTAGGTGGATTACAACATGATGTTATTCGTACTCTGGTGAATACTGTGGGCTATATTTTTTTATTTATTTAATTTTTTACATTGTGGTCATTTTGGGAAGTCTAAGGACACAGTTATGTGCAAACATTTGTACACCACTTGTGGAATGAGATGTTTTGTTTGTTTTCTAAGTGAAAGTAAGTCAACACAGGGAGCACACTTAAATATGGCATTTTCCTGATAGTTTTACTGCACAATTTCTTTTTTTATTTGCTGACTGTAATATATTGGAAACAATAAAATATAAAATGTGCCATTACATTTACACAGACCTCATGTTATGTATCATTTTTTTCCTCGATATCGCTGCTGTCCTACCTTGTATCTCCAAAATGGTAACTTTACAGGAGAAAGAAAAAACCTGCTTTAGTTTTAATGTCAATGGAACCAGAATTTAAAGGACTACGGGTATTTTCAAATTATGCCAAAAACTGAAAAATGTCAAAAATGGAGATACGAGGTTTTCTCCCGACAGCAGTGATTTGTTAAACTCAGCAAATAAATAATAATTGTGCATTTAAATGTGCAGGGATGTGTTCCCCGTAGATGTGTACTCAGAAAATCAACGAAACATGACCTCCCAGTTAATCCAAAATGTGACTAAAACTCTTTGCAAGACCCCAGAGGTATGTGTATATGTGTGTGTGTGTATATATATATATACATATATACAAAGATTTACATGTTGTTTCCTCACATATCAGTATAATTATCATGCTATTGTTTTGCGAAAGCAGCTTGAAATGGTAAAGTAATAAAAAAAAAATCCAAAAAAGATTTTCTTTCATGGTTCCTCCCCACCATGAACAGGGTTGATCAGACTATTAAAGAAATAGAGTAAAGTAATAAATAATAATAAAGTAGTGATGCTTGAATATTGAATACACTGTCCTAAATGTATTCAGTAGCATTATTCCATTACAAAACAGAATATATTTAGAATAAATATATGTGTATGTGTATATATATATATATATATATATATATATTTATGTACATATACACAAACACATATTATATATATATATATATATATATACACACACACACGTATATATATATATATATATGTGTGTGTGTGTGTGTGTGTGTGTGTGTATTCTGTTCATGAAGAATTCATTTACATGGATCTCATCATCTGCTTTGGTTCGCAGCTGTCTGGCTGTTTCTGCAGCTTAGTTTTCATATATGGACTATAAGGAGAACATGTTTTCAAACTTTAACAATGCTTACATACAACATCAAACGCTTTTATTAAAACAACAATGAAAAAGGGCCCACAATATGTGTCCTTTAATCTTAATGATCTCAACTGTGTAGAAATTTTGAAAAAATCTGTGGATTTTTCTTTTTAAAGGAATGGTTCACAAAGAAATTCACACTTACTCTTTTTTCCCTTACCCTAAATATAGACAATCAGCCAAAACATGTTCGGTGTCTGAGTTTGGAAGTTTGTCACCCAAAAGTCTGGAGTTATTTGCGTATGCCATCGATCCTCCTCCTGCTCTGATGAAAAAACCTTGCCTGTGTTAGTCACATCCGTCTACCATCAGACCATTCTCAGCCTTTTGACTTGATTTATAATGAGTTTCACAGCTGCTGACCCTAGCATGAACTTCTAACCTGATTCTGAAAGTTATGATTCAGCTTTAAACTCATTTTGAACCTCCATATTACAATATCTTACATCCACCACATGTACGACACAATCGATCCACCAGAGCGTTTTTTTTTCCGGACGTTTTCTGATAGCCTTTTACACTACTCAAAGGCCTCTCTGTTTAATCTCACTTGTGAACTTCTACTAGGCTACTTGTGCTACTTGCTTTACTCTAGACAGCCACCAGAGGTCACTGTTCAAAAGATAATCCTTGAATGCCTCTCAGTTTTAGTATTGTTGAGTCTATGCAAGAGCAGTTAGGCCATACACTTAGAGCTCCATCTATGAATTTGAAGCCCTTCCTTCATCTTTAAAGCATGTAAAATGGTAGACAGGTCTTTAAACATGCATACCTGTATGTATATCTTCACCTGTAGACCTATATTTGATGTATGGTCTTTAATTGTCAAAGCAGACAAGCAGTATCTTGCTAGGCCTTTGCATTTTTGAGAAACTGAGTAGCATTCTACTAAACACAGTTAGAACAAAGCCATCTTCATTTATTAGCTCCTGCTAAAGCTTGCACCCCCTAGACTCTGGTTAGTCCAGTGTTCTACAGGTGACCTAGAAAGATTTGAGATTTCTGGAAGTAGCCAATAGAATGCTATCGACTTCTGGACACAAAACCAAAAGAGCTGCGTTCAAACGGGAAAACTGCCAAAAAACAGTTGCTGAAACACTTTGCTATAATGAGGTTTCCTAGGGCTGGGCCTTCTTTCTTTTTTATGTTCTTTTGGGCCTGTTTCCCAGATCCAGTCAAGGTCTGAGCCTAGACTTCATTATATAATTCATAGTGACATAGCAATTTTGTCCATGACTAGGTTTAATCCCTGTCCGTGAAACTGGCCCACGGCGTTTAGCAGAAAGGTTGAAACTGATTTTTAAGGGAATTAAAGGGGTATAAACAGGAAATTCCACCAATCTTTCCAAATGTATGCATGATTCTATCCAGAAGATGTAAACAAACTCATTCAGAGTGGTTTGATTGAGTGTATCAAAGAGAAGCTCACATTTCTTTACAACGATAGTGATAGGAACCAGGGGTCAAATCCAAATTCTATCCAAATTAAAGAGTGAACATGTCTTTGAGTTTTATATGTGATGTTGAAAATGGCAAAATAATGATAAAAATATGAAAAATAAGTTTTCTTTGAGTACAATTGTGCCTTACAGCACATGTACCTCTCTGCCATTAATATATTAAAAAAATATATGTTTAAGGCAAAGACATTATCTCAAAACTATCATACAAGCAGTGTCTTGGGTATCAGGCAGCCTATCCACAATGATTTCTCGGAATACATTTTTGTGATGTAGCTTTTGGAAGCATTATGTTCCGAATGTCTGGTTCATTTCACCATGACTGTGAACAATACTAACTCTTTAATTTGCTCTAATATGGCGCATTTTGCATCAAACCACTCTGATTGGCATATGATGCATAGACAACCTAAGCATAGCATAACTTTCTTTGGTATTATTAGCTGTTCTCTGTGCTTTAAACCTATTCAGGCACAAAAGATGTAAGCCTGCCATTGTGTTGATTGGGCTTCCTAGATATGAAAACATGCCAGTTTAGGGTAAGATCTGTGCGGCATGTTAGCCTTTTCCATATAACATCTAAAGCACAAGGACATGTAATCCAAGGGGACTGAAAGTGGGTCCATTGGTCATCCATGCTGAGTAGCCAGGTCACAGTGAACACAGCCTAAGCACACTCAACTGTACAGGCTTCAATTTGAAACCCTCATCTATTGTCAAGTGTGGGCCAAAGTCATTCAGTCATTGTTGAGCATCATCTACTCCAGTGTCATCTGGCTTATCCGAGATGAACTACACTGTATGGTCAAAAGTTTGTGGACACCTGCTCGTCCAGCCTTTTTTCCTGAAATCAAGGGTAATAGTTTGTCCCCCCTTTGCTGTATTAACAGACTTTACTCTTCGGGGTGTTGGAATATTGATGTGAGAATTGCATTCGGCAATCAGAGCACTGGTGAGGTCAGGTTTATTTCTGGATCACAAACACAACTCCAACTCATCTCAAATGTAGTAGATGGAGATCCGTCACTCCAAAGCTCAGTTCTGTGGGACTTTATATCCTTATAGCTGATGCTTTGCACTGGGCTTGGTGACCTTAGGCTCATGTGCAGCTGCTCCAGAGCTTCCTATTATACTGACAATACTTTTCTGTTGAGATTACAAAAGAAAAGAGGAGCCGTCTGGATACTTTCAGTACACACCGAACACAGATCAGCCATAACATTAAAACCACCTCCTTTTTTCAGCACTTATGGTTCATTCTACAAGCTCCACTTACTATATAGGTGCACTTTGTAGTTCTACAGTTACAGACTGTAGTCCATCCACTCTGCATACTTTGTTAGCCCCCTTTTACCCTGTTCTTCAGTGGTCAGGATCTCCATGGACCCTCACAGAGCAGGTACTATTTGGGTGGTGGATCATTCTCAGCACTGCAGTAACACTGACGTTGTGGTGGTGTGTAAGTGTGTGTTGTGCTGGTACGAGTGGATCAGACACAGCAGTGCTGCTGGAGTTTTTAAACACCTCAGTGTCACTGCTGGACTGAGAATAGTCCACCAACCAAAAATATCCAGCCAGCAGCGTCCTCCACTGATAAAGAACTAGGGTATGACCAACACAAACTATGCAGCAACATATGAGCATCTCTGACTTTACATCTACAAGGTGGGCCAACATAGTGGATGTATCTAATAGGGTGGACAGTGAATGGACACAGTGTTCAAACTCCAGTGCTGAGAATGATCCACCACCCAAATAATACCTGCTCTGTGGTGGGTGGTCCAGACCATTGAAGAACAGTATGCAGAGCAACAGATTACACTCTTACATTGTATAACTACAAAGCTGAGCAGCTAATTTGGACAATGAGTGTAGAAAAAAGGAGGAGGTTTTAATGTTATGGCTGATGGGTGTGTACTGGTGTAAATGGACACTTATTATTAATGAGACAGAGGCTGAATCCCAAATGGCTTCCTATTGGTCACAGAGTGCACTATTTAGGACGCAGACGCTCTCATTTCATGACCCACGTAGTGCACTAGGTAGGGAGCACGGAGGCGTTTGAGACTCAGCCAGAGATTCACTCAATTGGGAAACTCCCTTCTCCCATGCGAGCGCGTTGTAGTACCAACCTCGGCATGTGACTTCTCAAAGCTACATTAAACCTGCCCCCTCCTCTTCTGTTGTGCCGTTCTCCGGTCTTGTGACTGGCTGCCTCAGCGCTGCTGCTCTGTCTATCCATCACTCAGTGAGTGGAGAGGAGCGACGATGAGGTAAACCTGCGGCTGCAGCGGCTGGAGAAACGGGAGAGTAAGGAGCGGACAAAGACGGCGAAGGGAAAAGGCGAGGAGGGCAGGGGACCGAGGCATGGCATCCATAAACGGGGCACGTAAGAAAGCCGCGGCGAGGAACCGAGCCGTGGAGAGGAGGAATTTAATCACCGTTTGCAGGTAAAGATCCGGAGAACGGTCCCTTCGGCACTCGGAGTTCGATTAAGCCGGTCTGAGTTGCCTCACTGCAGCTTCGCGGACTGCAAGTAATGCTCGTTTGGATGTTTCTTAGTAAGTGGGTGGGTGTGTTTTACATAGCAGGCAGATCATTGTTTCTGGCTTTATAGTTCTCTTTTGTGGGTCTTTTTTGTGTGGCAGTCCGCAAAACGGGCTATAAACGAAGAGCGCTGTGTAGTAGGATGACGTCATGCGGCTTCATGCAAATTGGCCAGGTGAAATTGCTTCTGAGAGAGAGAGAGAGAGAGACTGACTGACTGACCGACTGACTGACTGACTCACTCAGGAATAGGAGACCTCAATATTGTTTTTGAAGGACCGCTCTTTTTTGAATTAGGAGAAAAAAGGAGATTAACGCAAGCATTTCATTGTAAGACGTTCTGGTCGTGAATGAGTTCACCTTTAACTACACTGACAGACTGTTTCAGAGTTCTGTGGAAGAGAATAACGCTGGGCTATATTAAACTATGAGATCTTACACTTTTCTTATGGAAACATTATTCAGATTATTATTATTAAGACTGGGGTGCGGGGAGTCAGACACAAAAGAGCCAATCCCATAAGCTAAGAGCTAATATGTGGGACAAGGTTCTGAACAAAGTGAGAAAGTCTGAGAGGATTATTTCTCAGGAGCCATATTCCAGAAACAGGAGAAAATGGCTTAAAGGGGAACTCCACCGATGTTTCAAAAGTTCTCCCTGATTAACTGGTCAAGATATAAACAAAGCCGTTCAGAGTGGTTTGTTGTGAAAAGCTTGCTGAATCAGAATTGTTCACAGTGATGGTGATAGGAACCAGATGTCCACCTCTAAAAGCTCTCTCACAGATGGTTATTACATGAAATGGTTAGATAAACGCTGCCTGATGTCTGTGATGTTGTTTGATGATAAAGATGTAGTTTTGTGATAAAGCTTTGGCTTAAAGTGTATTTGAATCCATTTATTTTAATCCATTCATGGCAGAGGGATATCAGTCTGTAAGTTTCTCTACAGTGAACCACTTCATGTCAAACTGAATGACTGTTTACATCCCGAGGACCAAATTAGTAAGAAAATTTGAAGAATTGGGGGAATTCCCCTTTCAGTGTGACTATAATTTTTAACAGTACTTAGCCATGTCTAGGAGAAGTCCATGCGATTAAGAGAAGATCTCATTTGGAATATTTTCTTTCCTCTGGGTGTAACATTGATAAATACAGGAGAAATCTGATCGGCTTTGTGAATACCAGCACTGGGCCTGTCTTAGTGAATCTTCCCTGATCTAGTATCTGTTCCTGTCAGTAAAGCTGTAAAGTCATAGTAAATGGGGGAAGAATCTACAACCCCATTTCCAAAAAAGTTGGGACACTTTGCAAAATGTAAATAAAAATAGAATGCAGTGATATGCAAATCATGTAAACCACATTTTGTAGTATTTTCCTTTTAAAAGACAACATATCAAATGTTGAAAGTGAGAAATTTGATTGTTTTTTGAAAAATATATGGTCATTTTTAATTTGATGCCAACAACACGTTCCAAAAAAGTTGGGACGGGGGCATGTTTACCTGTTTCATCACCTCTTCTTTTAACAACACTCTAAGCATTTGGGAACTGAGGAGACACTGCTGTAATTTCAAAAGTGAAATGTTTTCCATTCTTACGTAATATAGGATTTCAGCTGCTCAACAGTTTGGGGGCTCATTTGTCATATTTTTCATTTCATAATGCGCCAGATGTTTTCAGTGGGTGACAGGTCTGGACTGCAGGCAGGTCAGTTTAGCACCCGGACTCTTTTAATACGGAGCCATGCTGTTGTAATATGTGAATATGTGCACAGTGTGGTTTGACATTGTCTTGCTGAAATAATCAAGGCCTTCCCTGAAAAAGACGTTGTCTGGATGGCAGTGATTGTTGCCAAAACATGTATATATCATTCAGCATTAATGGTGCCTTCACAGACATGCCAGTCACCCATGCCATGTGCACTAATGCACCCCTATACCATCATGAACACTGGCATTTGAACTGTGCACTGATAACGGGCTGAGTGGTCTTTAGCCTGAAGGACACAGTGTCCATGATTTCCAAAAAGAATTTCAAATGTTGATTCGTCAGACCACAGGACACTTTTCCACTTCCCCTCAGTCTACTTTAAATGAGCTCGGGCCCAGAGAAGGTGGCAGCGTTTCTGGGTCCTGTTTATATGATTTCTTCTTTACTTTTTAGAGTTTTAACCTGCATTTGTGGTTGCAGCGACAAACTGTGTTTACAGACAGTGGTTTTCAGAAGTGTTCCTGAGCCCATACAGTGATTTCCACAATCATGTCTGTTTTTAATGCAGTGCCATCTGAGGGCCCAAAGTTCACGGCCAGAAAATACTGGTTTTCAGCCTTGTCCCTTGCATTCAGAGATTTCTCCAGATTCTCTGAATCTTTTAATGATATTATGTACCGTAGATGATGAAAAGCAAAAGTTCTTTGCTGTTTTATGTTGAGAAACGTGGTGAACTGTTCATCATCTTTAGTTCTGTAAGACTCAGCCTCTCTATAATGCTCTTTTTATACATAATGGCCTGTTGCTAATCAACCACCAGGTGTTTTGTTTTTAGCACCTTTTGTTGCACCGCCCCAACTTTTTGGAATGTGTTATCAAATTCAAAATGGGCAAATATTTTTCAATAAACAATAAAATTTCTCAGTTTCAACACTTTTTATTGTCTTTGTACTCTTTTCAATTAAATATAGGTTTTAAATGATTTGCACATCATTCATTTTTGTTTTTATTTACATTTTACATCCCAACTTTTCTGGAAATGTTGTAAAACTATATCAGTACTCCTACTCTGAAAAATGTTGTGAATATGGGCCCTGATCCATGCAGAGAGATTGCGGAGAAACGGGCAAATGTTGGAGGAAAAAAATAAAAGTGACCTTAGAGGTGTCAGGTTAGGGCTGGAGGAGTGCTATATTTGGGTTGGAAATATAATAATTCTATTTGTAAGATGCAAAAAAAAGATGTCTGAAGATTTAATTCCCTTTAAAATCTCCCTCACAGAAAGTAATTACATTAAGTGGTTATGAATGTTGCGCTGCCTGATGCCTGAAACATTGTTTTCAGATAAAAACATATTTATTTCAAATCCGTTTGTGGTACAGAGGCCTACAATGTGTTGTAAGGCAAAACAGTCCCAAGCATTTTTTATTGAGATTTTACGATTGTAACATATAAAAACTTTTACATATAAAACTCAGAAGATGTGGAGGCTCACTGGTCATTTTGTATTGTGAATAAAATGGCTGTATATGCGTTGTAGATATTGACCTGAGTCTACCACCAATGCTATGAACAGTTCTTACTCGGTGAGTTTGTCTAGAACAGAGCATTTCATATCAAATCACTTTTAATGACTCTCTCAATTTTTTACATTTCAAGCATTGAAATATGCAGATCTCTTGAAACATCTGTGGAATTACCCTGTAAATTGGCCCTGAAGGTATGTTAAGTTAGTGTTGGGAATAAAATAGCCATGGAGGTGTGTATAGTTCCAGCTGAAACTAAAATGAAGCTGGAGGTGTGTTTAAATAAGGTCAGAGCTAAAACAGCCCTGTGCCCGATTGTTTATTCTCCACTTGGAGTTTGGACTAAAAGTGTGGGGGTTTAAAAGAAAAGAACTGCCCTGCAACTCTGTTTACAATGCACTGATCAAACCCTGAATGAAGACTAATCAATGATGACTCAAAAAGCCTGATTTAACCATTGTAACGGCCCCCTACCTGTAGGCTACATAATGAGGATTTGAGTTAGTCTCACATACTGTGATAGTCAGAAAGCCATGGTGTGCTCTGTAATCAGCTTGTTGAGCTGTTTGATTTGGGACAAGTAGTTTGTGGCTGCCCCAGCTCTGTACAGGAGACTGATGTGGGCCGCCAACATCCAACCACTCAGGAGGCTTATCTACCATCACATGGCGTCACTGGGGTCAGATGACCATTGTCTAAAAAAACGAACAAACAAAAAAACACTAGCTTGGCAAAAGCACTGTGACTCTTCACAACCAAATGTCCTTTGTTGTTACTGTTGTTTATGTTTACATTTAATGCAACATTTGCATGAGAAATCATGTGACCAAACAGATTTACTCACGGCTCTGTTATGTGGTGGGAAATGGGCACAGGTACTAGACCAGGGTACCGTTAGTTCTAGGTTTGGATTTGTAACCTTACTGCGCTGTGCCGTACCACCTGGTGGAAAATTGCTATAATAGACCTCTAAAGTCATGCCGAAGTTTAAGGGCTTTAAGGCCAGGAGGTTTTCCTCTTCCTACTATTGTACTGCGAACGCTACAGGGTACACTTGAGCAAAGCACTTGAAGGCTGGTATGCTGGTCACTATTCCATATTTGTTGCTCTGGGCCTGAGCAGTTTTTTGTGGGAAAAAATGAAATGACTTAACCCTAGGTAACATCTAGTCTTCATAACGTCAGAACAGTTTAAGCTACTGACAGTATACACCTCAGGACATTTAGCAGACCCGCCCCTAACTAGCTAGCGTGATGTCATCGAGCTGTGAGTGAGCATCAGTGAGTAATTCGGCTCCTGAAAATCATCCAAAATCCTAATATTATTGCTCTGCTTTTTGGCCTTCATATTCCAAGAAAGGGTTAAAAACAGCAACATGATTCACACATCAGATCACTCATCAGACTCTGCCTCACCATCCAGAGTGATTTCATCCACCTGTGACCATCCATCAGCCAGCAGTCCAGCTCCAAAATCACCCAAACCCCACTCGCTACTATTATACTACATCTCTGCTTTTAGCCTTCATATTATAAACAAAGGGTTAAAAACAGCAAAATGATTCACATCAGAACACTCAGAGAAACCTGCCATCACTGGGCAGAGTGAGAGAAACCAGCTCTAACATCCCACAACCCAGAAATACAGCACAAACACACAGCCAGA